GCAGTTTCCTATCGAACTCGTCCAATCTCTGTATGACAGGCACAATACTGTCATGGCTGGTACATAAAGAGATTAGGTAAGTAGAAAACAGCAACCACGAAAGGGATCCAATCTTGGTCATCTTTGATATTCTATATATACTTAAAGATGCCCTGGTCCAAAATGATACAGTTTGCTGTGCTGCTCGTTGTTTGACGTCCGATACACAGCTAATGCTCTTCTGTGATCAGTGTCACAGATTTGAACCCTTACTGGGTGCAATATACTCTCGTTATCACTCTCTAGATGAGGTAGCAGGCACGTGCGGTTCTATCACGGGCCATGTAATCATCCACTGAGGATGACAAGCAACTGATGCAGATATGCTTGATAACACGACCTTTAGGATGTATGTCAACGAATGACTACAAACTATGAATTCTCGCCTTCTTGGTATTTCCAACTTATGGAAGAATCACATTTATCTTAAGGTAATATTGTTATCATTGAACTATATCACGAATAATCAAATATTTGACATAGGGGAATCTTTTCGGTGATATCGCTTGTATGTCTGAATGTTATATAAAAATGATCGAATTTGATATGATATCTCAAGGATTTAAGGTAAAAATATACTATAAATGAGCGTTCGTTCATTAGAAAAGGGATCGTAAAATGTATGCAAACTGAACTGTTTCAGAAAGGTTCTATTCAAAACATAAACCCCGAAAGAATAATTCGTCACGAATAACTGCCAAAACATAACTGGGGCGTAAAAAGAAAAAAGTATGATGAAAAAATATATAAAAACATATAGACATATTATGAACATAAAAAACAACAACTGGGAAACATAGCGGCTAGGAGATGGGAACAGTTAGTACCAACGGGGATACCCATTACTTATCTCAATGTTCTATACCCTAAAAGAAATTTGACAAAGATATTGGCAGTCAGGAAATCCAGCAATTCACATATTTGGGTACCACTACAAATGGACGTCCCTTATTGATTGTTGAGTCACGACTGCAACTGTGTTTTTCATGACAATACCATCCGATTGTAAAGAAAGCATTACACGTGGAAACAGCCAAGGATAATGAGGTAAACTATCAAAGTAATTGAGAAGCATTTCATTTGCAAAATTTGTTTAGTACTCCTCCTCATGGAAGTTTTAATATTGTGAATGAATGAGTGAATGAGTGAGTGCCAAATTTGTTTAGTACCCCTCCTCATGGAATTTTTGATATTGTGAGTGAGTGAGTGAGTGAGTGAGTGAGTGAGTGAGTGAGTGAGTGAATGAGACAAGTCTTTGATTTAGCAATGATGTCTACACAACAGTGTAATAATTACGTTCTGAGGCACCTTATCAGATAGACTTGCAGATCCATGCAGTTGCAGATAACAATATTAAACAACAGACCAGATTCAGAGAAAGGTGAATGCATACAGTGATTGAGTATGGTTCTACGCCGCTTTTAGCAATATTCCAGCAATATCAGGGCGGGGGGCACCAGAAATGGGCTTCACACATTGTACCCATGTCAGGAATCAAACCCGGGTCTTCGGTGTGACGAGCGAACGCTTTAACCACAAGGCTACCCGACCGCCCCTGAATGCATACAGATATAGACATTCTATAATATAAGCTATTACCAACGTACCGTGAGGCATGGGTTAAAAACACGTAAGACATTGATTAGGATTAGTCGCATATATGCAAGCGGGGCATATTTGCTTGAATGTTGCTAAAAGCGGGTTAAAATAATAGTCACTCAGTCACTAACGGTACTCGGTAGGAAATAGCAGCATCAAGTCGCTAGTTTGCGGTTTATACAGATATTTACTATACATGCAGGTATATCGACGTACATTGTTCCGAATCATTTTATAATGATAGGAGTGTATTGCTGTTGCCTCGGAGCACCTCGCCTAATCTTAGTAAAGGTTAAGGGTGAACTCTTCCTTTTTCTAAGTCTCTGTACCTTGGTTTATAAAATAATGTTCACCCCACAACAGTAATTAATGAGGTGTGACATTGTTGTATCGCTCATTTAGGGTGTCTGAATGTACAATACAAAGGGGATTGACAAAGATGGGATCAGCATCTTTAAATTAATGTGATGTCTTGGGAACATTGTTATTAGCCTTTGGACTTTAGACACAAGGTTGTGTTCTTGACGTGTGTGTCGATATACATTCCAGAGTAGCTAGTCGCTATGTATATCATCACAAGAAGGTGAGGTGAAATGGGGTTATTGCAAGATTATTGCACTTATATAGCGACGTGCATGCACGTGTATGTGTGGCTGCTTGTACTAGTCCGGACTGATGCCGATTTATAGTGCTAGCTCACTGAGATACCATGCCTCAGTTTAACATAAATACCCCACTCAGACACAGTATACTGACGCCGAGCCGACCAGTTCTTGTTTTATCCCATTAATGCCGAGCGCCAGACAGGGTAATAACAAGTACCATCTTTTAACGTCTTTTGGTATGACGCGGCCGGGGATCGAACCCCGGACCTTCCGCTCTCTGGGCGGACGCTCTACCACTAGACCACGGAGGCGGTCATATCATGATAAGAAACAATTACAGATTGCCGCTCGCAATAATATTCAGATGTCAACCAAGCAGTCATATAGGAGCATGACTACAAATAAATAATCGTTTCAAGATCAAGATTCTATTCAGTATCAGGACCTCCTGCCTGAAGTACATAAGCATGTAAATATGGTTGAAAACAGCCACATAAATATATGTATCTATCATCATATGGAACAACTTTTCCTCCTTGTCTCTCTTATGTGATCGGAATTCAAACAACGTCATGGTTGTTAATCAACCAGTCATTATTATGTTAAATAAATGTCTGATTTGGTTTCTTGTATCTGTCATCAACTTTTCATATTGCTATCACGTGGACTCTCTCCTTTGACCCATTTGTCCCTCTGGTCAAGCGTGAACACAGCATGACTACACAATAAACACGCATTTCAAGATCCAGAAAAGGAGTTTCTTCAGTATAACATTCTGGTTGTATTGTTGTAAGGTTGTTTTTCGTAAATCATTGACTGTATGAGTAGTTCGAGCTACATTTCAAAAATACTTGCCACTTAATTTTTCTTCAATCTGTCACAATTTCTAAATATTGGGAAATAAATACTAGCTCCATATATGATAGGTAAATGCGCTGTACAAAAGATTTAACTAAGCTATTGCCACGATTTTTGGGTCATGTGATGTGCATTGATGGTGATCTCTGGTTATGTGACGTGCACTGTGGTGATCTCTGGTCATGTGAGGAGCACTGGTGGTGATCTCTGGTCATGTGAGGTGTACTGGTGGTGATCTCTGGTCATGTGAGGTGCACTGCTGTGATCTCTGGTCATGTGAGGTGTACTGGTGGTGATCTCTGGTCATGTGACGTGAACTGTGGTGATCCCTGGTCATGTGACGTGCACTGGTGGTGATCTCTGGTCATGTGACGTGCACTGGTGGTGATCTGAAATGACACCCAAATAAAATGACATGGCACCAAACATTGCCCAGTGTATGTATTTATGTTAATGTGAACTTATATGCATTGGATTGTTTCGGTTTCCTGGTGTTCCTGGTTGTGGTAGGTAGTTTCAGACCACAGCCTCAGATTGTTCCGCCATATCCCCCTCGGACAGGACACCTACTTATAGGTGAAAATCGAGTACCCACTGATCCATTGACCGGGGTAATAATAGTGCAGCGCTATGAGCATCCACTTGGTGAATGGAATCTGGCGAATTATAAATGCACTTCTTCTTCTTATTGTTTAGTCTGTCAGATATTTTGTATCCGGAGTGAATGGATGCTCCTGAGATGTTCGTTCTCCATGATGCAGGAAGACTGTTTTCGTGTACCTCTCATTCAAACTATGCAAATGTCACCGTAAACCATAGGTCACTGTCCCTTAATAGCTCAATAATATGATCATAATAGGTCATAATAGGACCATAATAGGTCCATTATAAGACCGCAATAGGTCCATAATAGGCCTATAATAGATCCGTAATAGGTCCATAATAGGACCATAATAGATCCATAAGGGTCCATAATAGAACCATAATAGGACCGTGGGCTTGAATCTCAGAAATGCATCACTTTGAGTTTTCCTCCAACATTAAGCTCACACGCCGTGATATAATGAGTGAGATGGGTCCAACGCCCCTTTTAACAGTTTTTAGGTATATCACATCTTAATGTGGGAGGAAAACCCGAAGTGATGCAGGTCTTCGACGTTTACCACTTTGGTTCTGACAAACCTAGGACCATTATCGAACCAACGCCATGATATAACTGCCTATGTGGCAATGCCTTGTCAGAGTGGACAAGTAACCCGTGCACTATACAAAAGCAAAGCAAGTGATCGATTTACACAGTGCCTCCTAAGGAACGATATATTAAAGATGAATGGCCACATGTTGACGAAGCCCGAATGAGTTACGATTCAAGATACAGGATATTATAGTACAATCAACATTAACTGTAACGCTAACATATTTTAGTACAAAACAGAAACAAATAATAATATGCACACAAAGCATGAAATGGTGAAAAGATGACGAGGACGGTGACTGAAGAAGGATATGGAAGATGAAAATATTTAATGAATACTACAATTGATAACGACATCATTATTGCTAGGCCTAATTCAATTGAACAGATAGTTTTACTGCGTACGGCATTAACCCGCAAGTGACTTTTACGCAATAACTTAACACGTGAAGGAGTAATTACTCTTTATCCTCGAATTACCCTGCTTTTGTCTTTCTTTTCTGGTACGCCGTGATATAACTGTGAGTGAGTGAGTGAGTGAGTTGGGTTTAACGCCGCTTTTAACAGTATTCCAGTTATATCACGGCGTGTCAGCTTAATGTGGGAGGAAAGCCCGAAGTGATGAAGTGATATAACTGAAACACTGTGAAAAGAATAAACAAAGATCAACCAAACTCACATCGTCCTTATGTTACAGATGGGCTCAGTCTGACACAGAATGAAGGTTCATCACGCAATCTTCCTGACTGCCATCCTCTTTGTAACACGCCATGGAAGCGATGGAGCCCTAGGCGAGAAGGCAAGATGTGATTTTCAAGACTTCCTTCAGACTCCACCAACTAAATCCTGGCTGTTGAACCACAGCCACACAGTCGTCACTTATAATGTATCGGGAGGTGTTCTCACCGGCTACGACTGCCGCAAGGACAACACGGAGTGTTCCCAGTATAGCCGGGTGTGCTGGAACCGCTTCAGCCACAACAGAGTCCTTGCCAAACATCTCGAATCAGACTTCAAGAACAAGTTCCTGTGTATCCAGTTCATCCAAAGAAGCATCAGCGTCATTCAGATAAAGATATCGCATACCCAGACCGGACATGTTGGTAAGTATCTCTGTAACTTTGAGGATCTGGACCTGGACCCATGGCCATGGATATCTGAAGAACATTTTTCAACCACTTCCACCTCATGCCCATTTATTGGTGGTTACAACTTTGATCTGTTCAAGTTCAGTGATCACAGCAGGAAGAAGATACAGACGAAATGTACCAGTGCTATCCCTCCCGTGCGAGTAGAAAGTGACTGTGAGCAGGGTGAAGGGATGACGTTTCAGTTTCGAAATTCTGCCTGTCTCCACAACGAAGGCAACTTTGATATGACACAGAATACCAAATGCATTGCGTCCTGGTCTGAAGGGAAGGAACACTTTGGAATTCTTTGTAAGGATTCCGACAGATATTTCTGGTGTGTTAGAGTGAAATTTGGACAAGGAAATGAGGTTTCTAAATTAATAATATTTCTGGATTTGATATGTGATCACACTCTGAACTTCACGTTGACCCAACGGTATATCGAGCTGGAGAAATTGGAGAAGCGAAAGGTGTCCCATATGTGTACAGACGAATATTATGGGTGTGAGGTGATGAATGAGCTATGCACGGTTTTGTCCGACCTTTGCGCAAGAACCTGTGGAGGTTGTAATGCAAGCCACAAGGCTACCCCTTGTCACTTCCCTGAAAGAGTCCAGGGAACCTGGCTGCATTCGGAAAGAAATGAAAACAAGCATGTGGAAATATCCCAAACTGCTATTAAGCTTCCCAAGTCTGGAGCCTATGAATGCGTCACCTTCCAGGACTTTGTGAGGCCTTTAAGGAGAGTGATACTGCGTCGATTTTCAAACGGTTGTTATCCTAGGTTCATGTGCATGCACTACAACTCCCCCTCTCCATCTGTGATGCGGTTCCGATTGGGCAATTTAGATACGTGGCCTACAAAATTATCGGATAAATCAATTTGTGATGACAAGAATTTTATGACCTACCCCAGCTTACGCAGCATCAGGACCCCCTATTACCGACCTTATAAGAGCTTAGTCAGACTTACGCCTGATCCTCGAGCAGTTGCTTGCAACCTACCACGGACCCTGCCAAGGGCTTTGACAGTCTACGACGACTATGGTATTACGTCCTGTCTTATCCACGGGTCCTTTGCCTCTCCTAGAGAATTAGTTCTAGCAAAAACCCGTAATGGTTCGGTCCTCAGCCCAACGAAGTACACATGTCTGGGTTCTTTAACGTTCATTGGAAGTTTAAAATCAATAATAACCGTCACCCAAGGGAGAGAAGACGAATATCTGTGTTGGATAATTGTCAGTAGGAATTTTCTTCTTCAAGTGAAACCTTCATCGTGTAATACTCTTACTGCCAACTTCATTATGGCTAGAAAAAAGACATTCGAGGAAAAGCTCATCAAGAGCTTTTATGTTACCTACTCCAAGTTCAGCCATGTATGTGATGATTATTTCCAGGAGCATTATGCATACAAGCCACATTAGCGCGTTAATATTTTGCCGTATTTGGAGCAGAGTTCCAGTTCGAATGGTCAAGTCCGAATTTCTAGTTTGGTGATATCAGTTTTCTTTATTCTACACGCTGCTATTTGCAATGTTTTATGATTGTACTTTTTGTAACTGATAATATTATTTTGTTTGAATGTACAAAAACATGTTTATCACGTGTACAGTCCTTGTTCTTTATTTAGAATTTAGAATTTAGTTATCGACGGCCGGTGTCACCTCTGGGAATGCTTATTTCATTTTGACTTCAATTTAAAATAATAACCATGTCTTTTTCCTGCAACACTCTGCCAGTATCCATTAGGAATTGAAATAAGCACTCTGTCGAGAAATACAAATTCTTTATGTCAGCGAAGAGCGTTTCAATTTTCAGATGGCTGTCGTAAAGGGAAGTAAATATTCTCTGTCATTTATGAAGATGCCTGTTAAAGAAAGAACGAGGTATATTAAGGGCTCCTTTCGTGCATATTAGAATAAATACATTTAAAGGAGGGGATGTCTTTAAAAAAACAATGTTCAAATGAAAGACACATTGTATATTTTCGTTGAATATTATTAGACTCACTTTTAAATATTCGCCTCACTGCAACATTAAGTACAGAGTTATTACCAATGTTCTGGAGAAAAGAATGAATGTACAATAAACATGTTTATCACATGTAAAGCACCTGTCTTTATTTAGAATTTGTCTACTTCTAAATTTCTAAACACAAATTATTTCAACAGACCTTAAAGAGAGTACACAACTTGTAAGTTACAATCTAGTGCTCAGACCAAATTACTGAGCATTTCACTTGAAGTCACATGAATTCTCATTTGAATTAGATACTAGTACTTGACAGATTGTCTGTAAATTATACTCATTTATACGATGTGTTTGACAGTGAGAATTATGTATATATCTCTTATTCAGATAGTAAGCCAAATAGTGCTTTGTGTATTTGGTTTTATCAGCTACACGTATGTAATTGATTTAGACGTAATTCATGATCAATTTCATTTATTAACTATCCCTCTACACAAACCTAATTATTTTACTGACGGGCGATGTCACCCCTGGGAATGCTTATTTCATTATGACTGCAGTTTGAATTTCATAACCATCTCTTTTTCCTGAAACACTCTGCCAGTTTCCATTAGGAATTGACATAAGCACTCCATCGAGAAATACAAATTGCATTAGGATTCGATGCTGTCCCTGTGCAGTCTACGTTTTGAATATTTTGTATGTATGCTATATGTATTTATGCATGATGACGTCTCCTCGAGACTATAACATCTCTTTTTGTGAAACACTAAATAACCTTTCAGCAATGTATACAATTTAGACATTACACATCTTACTATATACTTACAATCCCTGCAGAATTGTAAGGTGTTTGGCAACACGCAATGAACATACTCTGGCTGACTCTTGATTATGCTGCCCTGCTTCTTATAGCTGGAGTTTCATGGTGCATCTAATTTTCCCTTTATGTCAGCGAAAAACGTTTCATCTTTTTCAGATGCTGTCGTAGAGGGCAGTAAACATTCTTTGTCATTTATGAAGATGCCTATTAAAGAAAGGACGGTGTATATTAAGGGCTCCTTTCGTGCATATTAGAATATATATATTTAAAGGAGTGGAAACCTTTGAAAAAACAGTGTTCAAATGAAAGACAAATTGTATATTTTCGTGGAATATTATTCGACTCACTTTTACATATTCGACTTTCTTCAACATTAAATACAGACTTATCACCAATGTTCTGGAGAAACGACAACTGCATATCAGTGGCCAAAATATGAAATGTTCACAAATGAATGCAGTGTTTTAGCGTATAGCTTGGTTACACTTACTCATAGAAAAATGCTCCTTGATTTGAATGTTTGTATGATACCAAAACCTGAAAATTGTTTAAAAGAAAATTGCCAGCTGCCAGTCGATTGACTGTATGACATTTGAAAAAAACAATTCTTTTCTCTAGATGGAAATTTAGTAGTTCTTATGTGCCAGAAAAGGTCCTAGGGTACTGTTGGAAATATAAATACATTGACTTTTGGCCTTTACTTTACCTTTTAAAGAAAGACAATGGTTAGTGGCATATATCAAAATCACAACCTTCTTTGGGTCAGAGGCATTCACTCATCTATGAAAAATTAAGCGACCCAGGGTCATGAACCAGATCATACTCTGTTGTGACAGGTCACAATCGCATTGAAATCAGATCATAGTTCGCGTTACCGCTAAACACAGATCTGAGGACATCCCATTACGGCTCACGTAAGGACGACCTTTCATCCATCTAATCAGATCAGGAAAGTGACAGTCGGCATGTGTTGTCTTATCATGCAACCTCGAAAATGTTAACACGGGATATTCCGAACGACAGTTACAGGTTCATTCGTGCCCAACTCGTGTTTTCCGGGACAAGGCGAATAGCGACTCGTGCCCCTCTCGTGGCCATTTTTGCGACCGGGTTGCGTCTTAGCACAAACGTGCATACCTAAAACAATTGTCAACTCGTTGCGTAATGGTTCACGCATTTTCCACATATATTATTTATATTCCAGATGCAATTTAAAGCACATCGGGACGTACGGAATTATACAGTATGATTGAATACATTAAACTGTGTCTTTGGTATATTTTTAGATGCAAGACATGTAAAATAAAAAAATATTTCTGAGGGATTCTTTGACGAAGAACTTGAAATCATACGCGCATTCTGATTGGTTTGTCGTATTTTCGCCCATAACATTCATCGATAGGGGGACGAGTCTTCTTGCAGGTTACGGAAAGGGGCGAGTGTTGACGACAGTTACAGGTTGTACGACTGATTCAGTCAAAATCATCGTCTATCTCTCACTTATAAAGGGATAAACATTTGAACAGAAGAGACGTTGCATAGCTCGTGGGAAGCACTTCCACACACTCCCGACCATACATTAGACATCCCAGAATGTTCATTTGTTCTATTTTGAAATTTGTAATCGAGAACTTTGTCAACATATTTTTCAAGCATAGTCCGGAATGGAAGTCGCTAGTTTGAAACTAGTGTCATATAGCTCGAAAAAGCTGCTTTCTGATTGGCTAATGTCGACTTCTGGTTAATCATTCAATTGACCGATCAAAGTTTCCCGAAAGGTCGCTCTGACGTGAATTGTAATGGGATGTCCTCAGATCTTTGTTTAGTGGGAACGAGGACTAAGATCTTATTTAATGAGATTGTGACAGGTCACAGTCACCAAATGAAGCGCATTGTGTAACGCTCTTATTTCATAACTCTTAACTTGTGTAAAAATACACGTGATGACAGGTTGATTACCTCAAAATACACATCATATGATACACAAAATATAGTAGGAGGGTAAACTCATGCAATGATAACAACATTATATTTTCTTTATTAGCACAAAATAACGTTTTCATTCTGATTAATATCTCGTTTACTCAATGGCATTTTAACTAAATGTCAAACTTGGTTTCGTCTTTCCATCGTCTAATTTACACATTGTTATGACTTGTTTCAATACTGTTCCTTTGGACTTGAGCAATATGTCAGGCTCTAAATTTGGCTTTCTTTTCTCTCCTGTAAATCGTGTTTTGTTCCTTGTTGCGGTCTATTCGTTGAAACAACAGATGGTAATAAAGTTGTTAGTTACTTATTTCCATCATTGGTTAAAAGAAATGCTTAATATTAAGAAATACAGGTCAAGAATGAATTTATCATATAATAAAAAGGGTTATCGATAAACCAATCCGCTAAACGTGATAGCACGATCCGAAAAATATGCAAATGAGGTCAGGTGTTAGGAACTTCTTTGGATGAGCTCCATACACAATATGCGATTCCTACTTGCATGAAAAACATTGCCTTACGTTCCCGACTTCCCAACTTGTTTAGAGGTTTCCCGATGTGTGAGTGTTTCTGTAAACAAACATGGCTGCAAATCATTGAACACTATATTACAGACATAGTATTACAGGCTTTGTATTCTTACGCGGTTTCTAAAGCTACTTTCATGAATGAAAAAATCGCTTAAACTTCAATTACTTTCAGAATGATATTACCTGACAAAGAGATAAGTACCCTCGCGTGTTTCGTATCGTAAATATCATACATTAGGCTCCCATAATTACAATTTGTATTCCTAATATATGATGTTTACGTTACAACAAATAAAGTATTGCTACCTCCGATAGTATTTAAATCACACCTTGTCCTTTGTTTTGCATGCGTTCCCCACTAAATCTTAATCCCACTACAGACCTGTGAAGATCCGGGTTAGAATAGGTCTAACCCATGCCGTAAGAGGCGACTATGCTTGTTATAAGAGGTGACTAACGGGATCGGTGGCCAGACACACTTACTCAACTGCGTAGATCGATGCACATGATCAGGTCCAGACTCGATTATATTCAGACCGCAGTCATATAGCTGGAATATTGCTGAGTGCCGCGTTAAACAACAAGCAAACAAATAAACAATAAAACTCCACTTCATGTTAGGTTCGTTCTAATATTCATGAATAACTGCATCATCCCTGAGGATGACTTCAACTTGCCAATCATCCTCTTTCTTTTATGTAGAGCAATGTTCCAGCAGCTACACCCTTTGCTGTCTACTTTTCACAACCTTTGAAGTTCAATCGAGCATGCCTTTCCAACAAAGATTTCAAAGAGCGTCATACGACTGTCTTTTTGATCAGGGTTACAAGATCGAATGCCTTATTAAAGCTTTCAATTGAGTGAGTGAGTTTGGTTCAACGCCGCTTTTAACAGTATTCCAGTTATATCGCGGCGTGTCAGCTTAATGTGGGAGGAAAGCCCGAAGTGATGCAGGTCTCAGACGTTTACCACTTCGGTGAAACCCACGAGCACGGGTATGGTGCTGACAAACCTAGTAACATAATCGGGGCGAACCGTGATTCGAACCCACAATCATAGGTTCGTGGCGTGCCCAAGGGACGCAACTCTGCACAGCGAATCGCGGCGCCTTAGACGACTGGGTCACCCGTGCCCCCTGTAGCTCAGAGTAACTGCAAAATATACCAAATATCGTGTTGATGCCCCTCATGACCTTCGACCACTTTAGGTGCGATGGGGTAGCCTAGTGGTTGAAGCGTTCGCTCGTTACGCCAAAGGCCGGGTTCGATTCTCCACATGGGTAAAGTGTGTGAGTCTATTCTGATGTCGCCCGTGGGGTTATTGCAGAGATATTGCAAAAAGTGACGTAAAACCAAACTCACTCACTCACACAACACTGTGACATCCTATGTAACTTATGGGATATAAGTAAAAAGTGTGTGTCTAGTTTGGAGTGAGTGAGTATGATTTCACGCCGCTTTTAGCAATTTTCCAGCAATATCACGGCGGGGGACACCAGAAATGGGATTCACGCATTGTACCCATGTCGGGATTCTAACCCGGGTCTTCATCGTGACGAGCGAACGCCCTAACCACTAGGCTACCCGATGTAGAGGACACTACTAAAATTTGACGCATCAGTGACACAAGGGTATCATCAACGTTGTGTTCTTCACAAAACTCCCATGGCATTCTGCGATGGTTAGATAAAACCAAAAATCTTTGTACTACCGGAAAACTGATTTGTGAAGCTTAAAAAGGGAATAAAACAAACAAGGAAACTGAACATAAACATATAATCAGATTCACTGACAAATGTATAAAACATTGCATTTGATAACGTTTTCAATACGTAATGTATTCACGTCACTATTACATACAACGATAATTGTTATATACTACCCCAAAAAGAAACGCATATGTGGTTTTCAAGACAGTCATTATGTGACTCAGCCTTTAAACGCAATGGGACGTGGAAAATTTCCTCAAACGCTAACTGCGTCCACCATTGGCCTGGATGACGACACGTCGCCTTCTGACCATCATCTTCCCGAGGCAAGAGAGTTAACTGATTTCTGAAGTCCAGTTTCTACCCTCGCCGGCCAAGGCTCGAATTCCTGGACTCGATCGTAGCGCCACCAGTGATTATTACGAGTTATGTCCCTTCTAAGCCTCTCATATGGACCAGTCATATTCCACCTTCTCTCATCACTTGCATCAAGTGTTGTTTTGTTTCAAACAAAATGGCGGCGCCCAGTCAAGACGATCTGATCGATAATCAAGATCTATATTGTAATAAAAAGGGTCTTACATCGCGAAGTGCATCAATTCTCGCATGCATCTTCATTAAAAACATGAACAGATTTGGAAAATATCTGTTGACAACAAGTTGGTGGTGCACATGCTTTGGAAATCCTGCAATCGACCGAAATCTGCAATATAGTTTACGAACCGGATTATGATTTCATTGCGCGATTTTAATTGGATTATGCATAGACTCGTTAGTCCAGCTAAAATGTAACTCCATTATACCAGCCTAGTTCGTCATGGGTGGAAACTGTATAGTCAGTTAACTCTCTTGCCTCGGGAAGATGCCTGACCATGGAACCAAGAAACCTGTGGAATGACAGTCTGTTCTTCCACAGTGAGTGAGTGAGTATGGTTTTACGCCACTTTTAGCAATATTCACGCTTAAACCGCTAGGCTACGCCACCGCCCCTATCCTTCCAGCACAGCTTGGCGTAATGCCGCAAATTCTGTGGTCCTGGTTGACGTTGACGTAAACGTCTGTCAAGCTCATCCCACAGATGCTCAATTGGGTTAAGATCTTGTTAGCTTGACTACCACGGTAGTACATTATTGTTCTAAGCCCTCTTGAAACTGTGTGGGGACGGGAATTATCAAGCTGCGCCTGGTGCGCCTGCGACAAGTTGCACCTGGTGCTTGCAGAGTCGGGACAACGTGACGCACACTTGCTCTGTTGCCGTAGACATGAACAAGATCTGTTACTAGTCCATGAAAGACGGTTCCCCACATCATGACACTTTCTCCATCGAATCTGTCGACTTCTTGTCTGTTGCCGATACACATGCACCCGCTTTACCTCCTTTGAAGAAGGAAACCGGATTTGTCACTTATTTCAAAATTCACCTCGTTTGAATGATTTTAGAAACAACATGTGTCATAAACTTCCCTGTTAAACCCCTGAAAACGCCATGGCTTGCACGTAAAGATTGCTTATCAGATTCCCAAGAAATGAAGTCATACAAATAAATGTGAAAGGTAATTGATATCAAAGACGTTGCTTTGTGACACTTTATCAGTAAAAATAATATGTAGACTTTGTTTTTCTTTCGCAACGCGGACAACTTCCATCCACAAAATATAATTTCGAAAATATTGTTACCACCAATGCGATTCTCGCAGGATCTGGACGCATGACGTACATAAGCTAAAAGGTTAGCATATATTCAGTTTTGAAGAAATTGAAAGGGTCATGTCTAATATTTCTTCAAGAATGAAAATGGAATTTCACTTTTCCTTTTGTCTCAAGTTCAGATTTGATTACAGTGAACCAGTTTCAGTCCTAAGAGCTTTGAAAAAGCCTATCTGTAGTAGAAGTCTTACATTCACGTATGGTAACTACATACCAATTCTTGCAATCACTTAGTAATGCTATCATTACTCAGAGAGTTCCGGCTTTAATGCCATATGATGCAAAGCTGTAGGAAGATCTCGACTGAAGACACTTGTTGATGTACTATTTCGGAGTATGTTTCAATACAAATGTTGTTTCAATTAGATCCCAACGCGTTAGTGAGAAGTAAAAGTGTCCTTTTTGAATGGTCTTCTATCTCGACGCGCACGTCTTATCTTCTCTGCTATATCAACCCGACCAATGTGTCTCATTGACTCCTCCATATTTCTCATTAGATTTGCTTTACCCGAGTGTTTTTGATACCATGCCATTAAAAGCTTGAAGCGAGGGTCCCAGTTTTCTCTCATTGCTCTTTCAACAATGACTGTAATGTTGTCAGATCCCATTCCTAAATCTACCATGACCTGTTGCCATTCTGGAGTCGTGAGGGCATGACTAAGTCCCAGCAGACTGCTCTCACTCAGGAGTGGATTGCCTAGAACAGTCAAAAACATATCTAAAACATATATACATTAAGAAAGTATGTAAAAGATATCGATGCACTTTCACATATCAAAATATATTTGTTAATGGTTAACCTCCACGAACACCTGTTATCATAACTATGTGATAATGAATCAAAAACACATGCTCTTAAAATAATCGGAATCTCAACATAGATAATTTAGGCTCCACAACAACAAAGCATACTGAAAACATTTTAAATATGAATAAAGCTCACCAAGAGTTCCAAAGGATGAGGCTTTGGTAGGTCCTCTTGGTTCTTTGACTGCTATAGGAGGTAACTTGGCACTAGGTTTCTTGTGTCCTCTTTGGATGCCATGGTTGTGTTCAGTGTCTGGCGTTGTGAGGGTGTCAGCGAGTGTCGACTTCCTCCTACAGCTATTTTTATCCTTGGTCGAACATTGCAATTCAAAGGCATGTCTAGGGTTGATTGAAAAGCTTGTTTCATCTCTTGTTAGAATTCTCCGAGGCATTTTATCACCAGCCACTCCCGGAATATTGCTTCCCAAATGTGGTGTATGGAGTTGTCTTTCTGGCATGTTGCTTTTTGTAAGAGTTGTGTGGTTTCGTGAAAATACCTTTGGCTGTAATGGGTGATGCTCATTGACTGATGTCCTGGGATTTAGAATTTTAGGGAGAGGTAATGTTGGTGTACCTACCATATTGCGTTTCTGTACGTTTCTGTTAGGTTTCTGTTTCAGAGGTGTGCAGGCACTAGCATCTTCTCTGTTGTTGGACATAGGGGAGATGGTAAGTTCCTCTGTGAAAATCCCAGACGTTGAATCATTGAACGCTGTCAGACTGTCAAAATCTTTGGCTAAATGACCATGGCTTTTAATGCACGTAGCGGGACTCGGTGTCACAGATAACGTATGACTGATTTTCCGTTGTTTAGTTGACGCTTCACTAAGAGAATGTTTTCTCACAGAGCCAACAGTATGTCCCCGCATTGATGCACTCATATGTGGCGTGCTGACTGCTGTAGTGTATATAGTTGTTATGTCACTAAGATGCCCACCACATACAGTAGCTTCCCTTGCAGCGTCTGTCTGTACAGTGGGATAATTAATATCATATCTGGCATTCAGTACTACTTGATTGTTTGGAATTTGAGCATTACCAGGGTTGATATAGTTGTTAGCAGCTTCCTTGATATGATCTCTGTCTTTGCTTTGAGTCTGTTTATTGAGGTTTAGTGTTTTATCCAATGGGTAATCTACATAAAAGTGAATCTCATGCCACTTATCTGACCCAATCTTAATTGTCACTATGCCATATGACACCCTACGCATAAAACCCACTCTCTTTATTCTCATGTCCACAAAGTTTTCTTCCGATGTTGATGTGTACTGAAAAGTAAGATTTTTCATTTCTCTTTTATCCACCAGTTGTATATTACCAGAAAAGGATATCCTGATCCGTTCATCCCGTAAAACGTCAATATCTGGCGATCTGCTTTGTTTGATTTCGTGGAATCCTTTTTCCTGTCTATACCTGACCCTGCTTCCAGCATTTGGGGATTCCACCACTTCAATAGTAATACACTTACAGTTAATTCCTGCAGCTCTCGATAGAAATGTTAAAATCTTGCATTTGCTGAGCTCATTTCTCTGCAACATGGCACATTCTATTAATCTGTCATCGCTCACCCCTGGGCGTACAAGTGTAGCTTGGCAACTGCAAAATATACATAAATATGCTCCATGTTATACAATATAGAGCATAATCTATTTTCAGACAGTTACTAGTATATTGATAGTTTGTGAATGAAGACTTCAGGACGTTTTCTTGACAGATGAATACTCCAACTTAAATTCGTGGTATTTTCGTATTTTATTTCCATTTCAAATATAAACAAAAATGAAATCCCAAATAGTCAAACTTTAATCAGATTTTCACAATGAAAATACATTATACAATTCAACGTATGATGTACCTTAACGGTTTTGCCTTAATGCATACCTGTTTGTACCGGTAGTGCCGTGTGACATTCTCACAGATCCATTGCTTATTCCATGGTCACCCGAAGACACACTGTAAACCCCATTTTCGACATTCAACCATTTTACCTCCACCTCGTCCGATCCAGTATCTTCAATTGGCAGTTCCACCTCCGCGGGTTTATTGAAAGCTCTATCAACTGCATATCGTACAGATAGTATGTCAGATAGAGCATATATTCCCTCACAAACGCCCGGGTCATAAGCTCTGTACCATTCCAGTCTGTTCATGCTGGTCGGCTGAATCTGAAGAAACATCCACAGACTCAAATGCCCGAGAAAGAAGCGCACTTAATATTCCCTTTTTCATGATCAATTTCACTATTCGCATTTATTTATTCCTTTTAATATGGCAGTTTATACTTGTTCATGCTCAATAGGCTAGATGCTATATCATAATATTAGCTTCATATAATTAGCCACAAATGTTGTCTATACCTGGATGGAAATAGTCATTTCCGTGTCCACGGCTCCATCTGGTACTTCGACTCGAATCCTTTGATCTTTGCTTGAAACGAATGTGTATCCTCTTGGTGTGATATTGATAACCTCTCCACGCTGCCTGGCATACACCACGAAGTAGTGTAAATTCTCTACTTGAAAGCATGCAAGATCATCCTGTGGGCAAAGACCATGCAAAACAGTGAAGTGTAACATGATTGTGTGTGTATTTGTCCAGACATAGAATAGGTGTAACAACGAAATTTGATGACGATTTCTTCTGTGTTGTTATATCATACTGCAATATGTTTAGTGGATAACTCTGCAATTATTATTAGGTGATTTATGTCGTATTTCTTATTATTTTACCTCATAATTAGCTTCATCAGACGTCCACGCTTCCCACTTTTTGAAGACCATGAATTGCAACAGATCTCTTTTGTCTAGCTTTGTGGATGGCAGGTGCAGGGGTAGCTGGAGTTTGTATGGTGTATTGTTTACCTGAGGGAAACCATTCCCAACGACCCTGTACAGATCACTGACCATCATGTCATTATCTGTCCGGGAAAACTCATCCAGAATCAGTGTCCTATCTTCAGCACATACAGGCTCAACATGGCAGTCGATGTCAGACGCCCCTGTAGGTACTTTGAGAAGTATTCCCTTCCCCAAATCTTGATCCCTGAAGCAAAAGGAGCTATGAGCCATGTGGTGTTATTTTTGTGTGTACACATGTGAAATATGTTCAGGTGTTGACCTCGAGCACACCTAATGTAATTATCTATGGTGGCTGGGGGATAGATTCAATTATTACCCAAATCTGGAGAGGGATCGTGAATTAACTATTTGGTAATTATGATTGGCTCAATAATTAATTACGTAATTTGATTGGCTGAAACTACTTTTTGTTCGTTTGTAAATCTAAAAGCAGTCACAAAAACGATCACCCATGACCCTGAATAGAGTTAAACCCAGTGACACAAAACACACCCCTTTTATGTATTCTTTCTTAAGGTAAGATTAGATATGAATCTCATGCATCGTATTTTGCATTCATATTTTATCATGTTTATGATAACAAACAATTTTAAATCGAGATCTGGACATTGGTAGAATATAAACAATCAATCCAAGATGGCATTTCTCGCGTCCAGCAAAGGATAAAACAAAACATCGGTTCAGATAATGACCGAAGTCTGACTGTGCAATGGATGTTCTCTTTTCACGCAGAAGGTTCGCGATAAGCATATTCATGAACATGTACATGCTAAGCGCGAACCTTCTTTGTGAAAAGAGAACATCCATTGCACGGTCATACAACAAGCATGTGATCCAACGAATATGGCATATTTTCAAAATCATTCCCACTGCTAGAACCTATATTCTGTTTTCGTGATTCATTCGGGGAAACTTTTGTGAAACAAAATTCCATATCATAGAACAGTAAAAACAGTAATTACATCACAATCCGAAATGAAACGTCGATTTTTAAATGATGTTACAACTTGGCTTACGTGCCGATGTCCCAATAGAAACATGACGGATGTCACTGCTCAGCTATAAGGCAGTCCAAATAAGGTCACGTCAGGACAGTGTAATGAACGAAATTGTACTTATGCAAGTGAAAAACTCGGTATTCTCCTGACGAAAGTTGATCTTGAAAATCACAAACATGATTTTCGATAATCGTATTACTTTGTTGATGTTGGGACACAATTCGGTCGTCAGATTCTTCTGATTTGATATGAAGTTTGCTGCTAGTAATATGCTCCAAGTCCAAATCGAATGACTTTTGTTTTGATAGCGGTCGACGATTCTTTTCAGTTGTAGTTTTACTGATAGTAAATAGATATTATCACGCGAGTGTGTTTTGGGATTATAAATATCCCGTATTAGGAATAAACATTGTAGTTAGCGACAGTATACTGACGTCGAGCCGAAAAGTCCTCATTTTAGCCAAACGCTAGGCAGGACAACAAAAAGTTTCATCTTTCAACGTCTTTTGGTATCACGCGGCCGGGAATCGAACACCGGACCTTTCGGTCGCCGGGTGGACGCTCTACCACAAGACCACGGAAGCAGTTCCATGTCAAATAACTGAGAAATACTACAACGCGACGTATCTTTGTGATCAGTAAAGGCATAATAACTGGGAATGAAGTGCTTTGCAGCTCTTTCAGACTTGTGGCAACGGTAATATCGTGATGCAAAACAATAGGCACACAAGGCCATTTTACACAAGCTTATCATTGCTTTGTGTACTTGCAGAGCTCTAACCCATTCATATATATCAATAAATACTCTATGTGATAGATGTTTCGAAAAGGTCTCTCTTGGGAAATATATATGTGGTTAACAATATATAGGAAAGAATTAGACATGAAGGATTCTGAGAAAGAACAGTATCTGCAAGTTTTGAGTGACATCGGTTTGTCCACAGCATGCTAGCACCAGTAAACGCCATCCCCATATTCATAAATTCTTCTCGATGAGATTTGACAGTAACCTGAAACGTTAATTCATTTTTCATGGCATGGACACGAGAAACACTGTGCCAGTCTTATGTCAACGTATCTGTTTATAACTTCTACAAGTTTCGGAATACTGGGGATATTGCCTGCTCAGTACCCTGAATGAGGATAGATGGAATGATAGAAAGTCCTTGCATTCCATGCATTACCTGTAATGATGTAAAATGGCTTCTTCTTCTGCTTCTTCTTCGTCTGCTTCTTCTTCTTCTGCTTCACAATCTGCAGTTGTGAGAGAGATACATGTAGCTTCGAGAGGACTGCGGTCTTCTATTCTGTCACCCTCTCTGATTCTCAGTTCCTCCTCACTGTTTGTCTCCATCTCCTCATCAACCTCCTCCTCCACAAAGCCGTCACTCGTGCTCTCTTCTGAGTAAAGGCTAGACACAGACCTATAAGATACGTGGCATTTCACATTTTAGTAAACAAGAGAACCATGACGACATTGAAAATTGTTTATCAGGAACGACATGCAATAGGTACAATATTTAAAGGTATCTGAGCTCATGAAAGCACAATGACATCGCAGTATTTTCAGATCGGACATATGATCCCCTCCTTGCTGATTTGTTTAAATGTGCACATGAATCGATATTTCAGCTCCGATTGACAAAAAACAAGATCTGAAAATGTTTTATGCTAGACATGTGAGGTGTGGTAAAATGGAGATTATTGCCATTTTTTAGTGGTGTGTGTGTCTGCTTCTACTTGTGCTTGTATCAGTCCGAATGCTGAGTTTATAGTGCCCAATGGGATACCGTTCCGCAGTTTAGAGACGAGTGTCACTGGTTGGGCAAAAAGGTGTAGTCGAAATTATTTAATTAGCAGAGATTTCTTATGATTGTGGTTTCATTGTGTCGGTATTATTAATATTACGATACTATATGACAATAAGAGGTTTGAATCTAAAGCTATATGAAGCATTTACTTAAAAGATCACTTACTCTTCAAATTCGCTCGCTTCTCCATCTGTTTGATCATTCCAGTCATTGTTCATTTGAACTCTGCAAACGATAGATGAAGTAACACAAATAACTCACAGCCGGATATGGAAGAGTCTGTCACAATGTTCACACTTTCATAATCATTAAACAATTACATAGAAGTACTTTTGACTAATGCAAGCAGGCAAAACCTTCATCGTTTTCACACTTCTCATTCTATAACTTTCACTGAAATGATTTGGATGTGATCTGTGGACAATCGTTTATCAAGTTTTCTCCCATAACAGGGCTTGATCTTGAATCGCCAGCAGTGGTTTATTTGCAGTGGTTTATTTTTTTCACCCAATCTGATTGGCTGGCTGAGAGTGGAGAGTTGTGTCATCGCGTTTTGATTGGCTGGCTAAAAATAATTGACGGCACTTTTTTCGGATCGGGGATACCCGAGGTCGTCTAGTACAGGAAATCTCCAGCTGGCAAAACATTACCGTAGTGACGCTGTTTCCATCTCCGAAAGTTGGTGACCCAGAGAAAATTTGTAGGGGAAGAAGGGGTGTGATATGTGGAGATATATCAGAGAATTTTGGCTTCCCAATGTACCAGACTCAGTTGCAGAATGAAAAGACGGTAACCGAAGCGAGATACCGCATCGATATTACGGGACCAGGTGAGCCACTCCGGTACATTCTTTACTGGGCGTTTTCAAGGCCAATAACAAAGCTAATGAAACAGTTAATTATTTCATGTAAAAATACCGATGAAAAAGTGAAACAAACTATATTGTTTTTGGTATTGTTTGAAAAAATAACTATCAACCACATAAGAAATGTCACGTTATAACGAAGTGTTGATCTAGAGCCGATCGATCAAAAACATATTTCATAGTTATATTAAAATAATCGAGACTTAAATTTCAAATTTTAAAACAATTCACACTCAAATAATTTGGATCTAAAGCAATACTCAGTTTTAATGCAGGAAACGATCAATCTTTGCCGGACGGACAGTACATCTCACGACCAAGATGTTTTGCAAACACAGTAGTTGTTTCCCTTTCAGCTGGAGATCAATATAATTAAAGTATTTTGGCCTATTATTAGTTGGTGTTTTTTAAACATGAAGACTTCAATTATTTAAACATACTATCTCAGGACAATTAAGAAACTCATTATGAAAAAACAACACTTTTAAACTTGATTGTATTAAGTCATACCTAAATCTATGTAAACTCAAGAAAGCAATATATGTATTCATTTTTTTCTTAACTATTTTGATTTCTTATAGGGAGCAGACAAAATGATGAAGATAAAGATGGTGGGCACCAGATAATAAATCTAAAAAATTAATTTCACATTATTAGTTCCAGGTAGAAACTCAATATCACAGTTCATTATTTTCAGAATTAACAGACAATGGTACAGAGTATTAAAACATGTAGAATTATGTTTGTCTCAAGTATATTCTTTAAACCAAAGATTTATTATTTACCATGTTTACTGAAAAAAACCCACTTCTTTAATAATGCAATTGTTATATTATCATTGCAGATAAAGAGCCCCAATATGTACAGCTAGCTTAATTTTAATGATAATTATTTAGCATTTCTTGGGATGATAAACTGGGCATATGTCAAAATAAGACATTTTTATTTATTATTCTCCCATTACAAGGTTTACAGTGGTTTATTGGTTTATCACATAATCTAATTGGCTGCCTGGGAGTGGAAAGCTGTGTCGTTATTTTAATCAGGGACCTTAAATTATTCTAATGCGTAAATTTTCAGAACATGGTAAATAAAGAAAAACTCAAATTTATGGGTGATGAAGAAATGACCAACAATAGGTCCTCTTATGCCATTTTACCATAAACCTAATTTCTTTACATTAGCAATGTCTAATTTTAATTTTAATATTTCTTACAAAACAATCATATGCGAACAGGTCACTAAAATACATATTTATTATTATGTCTTGTTTTCATGAAGATAAAAGAAGAAAATGTTAATGTTAAATTGCCTATTATCAGTAAGTCTTAACTTCTAATCTGATGAAATAACAAAATAATAAATTTTGGAGGTAACTGTTGCAGAAAAATAACAATGTAAAATTATAAGGGTATTAAAATGCAAATATTTGTAGAACTACTGAAATGATAATTTATTGTTTACATATAACCTATTATTGTGCTTGTCAAATTCACATTGTTTCTTGTCATTTACAAATGACTCATTTAGTAATATTTTTGGTGTCATGATGTTAAATATTATGTTCAAAAGAAAAAATGTCCATTGATTAAGTTTTTATTTTTATATTTTTAATAAAAACACACGTGCTCACCATGTTCAGGAACAACAAGAAAAAGAAAAAAAAAAAGATGACATGAAATAATCATCATTTTACATATTAAAAAAAATATCGTCCAAAAATATTAAAATCCATTAATGGATTTGAGAAGATTGAATCAGCTGATCAGTTGCCTGAGTTGGCATTTATAGTATCTCGCTTGATCAGTCCTGCTGACAGTTCCTTGGGCCCATGTTTTTCGTTAAGAATATTTCACAATATTTAAGACAATATTTAATTTCCTCTTAATTGGGTTAATAACATTTGTTTCTAGCGAACAAATAATCGAATAACGTATTTACATACACTTAAAAGGTGGGCAGAGTAATCCAAAACAATTAACAAATATCAAATCACATTACTAATTTTCAAAACGTTACTCCCATCAGCTTTTAATAGTTAACAAAAAACATAAAATGGCTTGCCTGTAACGTAAAACTCGTGTGAGTTTACCTTTTTACCTGTTTATGGTGCAGTCTTACTGAGCATACTCGGCTTGGGGGAATCCCGAGTGGTTACTAAACACGGGAAATCTTCAACGACGAGCTCAACTTTTTACGGGGTATTGTAATGGGAGAAAAAGGATTAACCACTGTGTTCGGTTGTTACCGAAAAATCTACACACTCGTGATTCATCTGCCACAATTGGAACTCGGCAAAGCCTCGTTCTAATCGTCACAGATTAATCTCTCGTGTGTAGATCTTTCGGTAACAACCGAACACAGTGGTTAATCCTCTATGTACATAGAACGTACCTTTCATCAGGAGGAGGAAGTATAATCTCCATTGTTGTAGGGGGAACCCTGCGTTTTAGACTCGCCATGGTCCGCCCCAGTCTGTTACAGTCTGGGGCCCTTCAGTGCGAGAACATAATCTGAATGTGGTTCACACTGGATATGTATCAGGAACAAAGTGAAGAAGGAACTGATAATGGTTAGTAAAGTAATGGTCGGTAAAAACTTTCACCTGTTCTGCCTTCCTGATTAGGTTAACAGACACAGTGAGTGAGTGAGTTGGGTTTAACGCCGCTTTTAACAATATTTCAGTTATATCGCGGCGTATCAGCTTAATGTGGGAGGAAAACCCGAAGTGATGCAGGTCTCAACCTCAAAATGTTTTATGCTAGACATGTGAAGTGTGGTAAAATGGCGTACAAGTGTAGCTTGGCAACTGCAAAATATACATAAATATGCTCCATGTTATACAATATAGAGCATAATCTATTTTCAGACAGTTACTAGTATATTGATAGTTTGTGAATGAAGACTTCAGGATGTTTCTTGACAGATGAATAATCCAACTTAAATTCGTGGTATTTTCGTATTTTATTTCCATTTCGAATATAAACAAAAATTGAAATCCCAAATAGTCAAACTTTAATCATATTTTCACAATGAAAATACAATATACAGTTAAACGTATGATGTACCTTAACGGTTTTGCCTTAATGCATACCTGTTTGTACCGGTAGTGCCGTGTGACATTCTCACAGATCCATTGCTTATTCCATGGTCACCGGAAGACACACTGTAAACCCCATTTTCGACATTCAACCATTTTACCTCCACCTCGTCCGATCCAGTATCTTCAATTGGCAGTTCCACCTCCGTGGGTTTATTGAAAGCTCTATCAACTGCATATCGTACAGATAGTATGTCAGATAGAGCATATATTCCCTCACAAACGCCCGGGTCATAAGCTCTGTACCATTCCAGTTTGCTTAGGCTGGTCGGCTGAATCTGAAGAAACATCCACAGACTCAAATGCCCGAGAAAGAAGCGCACTTAATATTCCCTTTTTCATGATCAATTTCACTATTCGCATTTATTTATTCCTTTTAATATGGCAGTTTAAACTTGTTCATGCTCAATAGGCTAGGTGCTATATTATAATATAAGTTTCATATAATTGGCCACTAATGTTGTCTATACCTGGATGGAAATAGTCATTTCCGTGTCCACGGCTCCATCTGGTACTTCGACTCGAATCCTTTGATCTTTGCTTGAAACGAACGTGTATCCTCTTGGTGTGATATTGATAACCTCTCCACGCTGCCTGGCATACACCACGAAGTAGTGTAAATTCTCTACTTGAAAGCATGCAAGATCATCCTTTGGGCAAAGACCATGCAAAACGGTGAAGTGTGACATGATTGTGTGTGTATTTGTCCAGACATAGAATAGGTGTAACAACGAAATTTGATGACGATTTCTTCTGTGTTGTTATATCATACTGCAATATGTTTAGTGGATAACTCTGCAATTATTATTAGATGATTTATGTCGTATTTCTTATTATTTTACCTCATAGTTAGCTTCATCAGACGTCCACGCTTCCCACTTTTTGAAGACCATGAATTGCAACAGATCTCTTTTGTCTAGCTTTGTGGATGGCAGGTGCAGGGGTAGCTGGAGTTTGTATGGTGTATTGTTTACCTGAGGGAAACCATTCCCAACGACCCTGTACAGATCACTGACCATCATGTCATTATCTGTCCGGGAAAACTCATCAAGCATCAGTGTCCTATCTTCAGCACATACAGGCTCAACATGGCAGTCGATGTCAGACGCCCCTGTAGGTACTTTGAGAAGTATTCCCTTCCCCAAATCTTGATCCCTGAAGCAAAAGGAGCTATGAGCCATGTGGTGTTATTTTTGTGTGTACACATGTGAAATATGTTCAGGTGTTGACCTCGAGCACACCTAATGTAATTATCTATGGTGGCTGGGGGATAGATTCAATTATTACCCAAATCTGGAGAGGGATCGTGAATTAACTATTTGGTAATTATGATTGGCTCAATAATTAATTACGTAATTTGATTGGCTGAAACTACTTTTTGTTCGTTTGTAAATCTACAAGCAGTCACAAAAACGATCACCCATGACCCTGAATAGACTTAAACCCAGTGACACAAAACACACCCCTTTTGTTATTGAACATGTATTCTTTCTTAAGGTAAGATTAGATATGAATCTCATGCATCGTATTTTGCATTCATATTTTATCATGTTTATGATAACAAACAATTTTAAAATGTAGATCTGGACATTGGTAGAATATAAACAATCAATCCAAGATGGCATTTCTCGCGTCCAGCAAAGGATAAAACAAAACATCGGTTCAGATAATGACCGAAGTCTGACTGTGCAATGGATGTTCTCTTTTCACGCAGAAGGTTCGCGATAAGCATATCCGTGAACATGTACATGCTAAGCGCGAACCTTCTTTGTGAAAGGAGAACATCCATTGCACGGTCATACAACAAGCATGTGATCCAACGAATATGGCTTATTTTCAAAATCATTCCCACTGCTAGAACCTATATTCTGTTTTCGTGATTCATTCAGGGAAACTTTTGTGAAACAAAATTCCATATCATAGAACAGTAAAAACAGTAATTACATCACAATCCGAAATGAAACGTCGATTTTTGAATGATGTTACAACTTGGCTTATGTGCCTATGTCCCAATAGAAACATGACGGATGTCACTGCTCAGCTATAAGGCAGTGCAAATAAGGTCACGTCAGGACAGTTTAATGAACGAAATTGTACTTATGCAAGTTAAAAACTCGGTATTCTCCTGACGAAAGTTGATCTTGAAAATCACAAACATGATTTTCGATAATCGTATTACTTTGTTGATGTTGGGACACAATTCGGTCGTCAGATTCTTCTGATTTGATATGAAGTTTGCTGCTAGTAATATGCTCCAAGTCCAAATCGAATGACTTTTGTTTTGATAGCGGTCGACGATTCTTATCAGTTGTAGTTTTACTGATAGTAAATAGATATTATCACGCGAGTGTGTTTTGGGATTATAAATATCCCGTATTAGGAATAAACATTGTAGTTAGCGACAGTATACTGACGTCGAGCCGAAAAGTCCTCATTTTAGCCAAACGCTAGGCAGGACAACAAAAAGTTTCATCTTTCAACGTCTTTTGGTATCACGCGGCCGGGAATCGAACCCCGGACCTTTCGGTCGCCGGGTGGACGCTCTACCACAAGACCACGGAAGCAGTTCGATGTCAAATAACTGAGAAATACTACAACGCGACGTATCTTTGTGATCAGTAAAGGCATAATAACTGGGAATGATGTGCTTTGCAGCTCTTTCAGACTTGTGGCAACGGTAATATCGTGATGCAAAACAATAGGCACACAAGGCCATTTTACACAAGCTTATCATTGCTTTGTGTACTTGCAGAGCTCTAACCCATTCATATATATCAATAAATACTCTATGTGATAGATGTTTCGAAAAGGTTTCTCTTGGGAAATATATATGTGGTTAACAATATATAGGAAAGAATTAGACATGAAGGATTCTGAGAAAGAACAGTATCTGCAAGTTTTGAGTGACATCGGTTTGTCCACAGCATGCTAGCACCAGTAAACGTCATCCCCATATTCATAAATTCTTCTCGATGAGATTTGACAGTAACCTGAAACGTTAATTCATTTTTCATGGCATGGACACGAGAAACACTGTGCCAGTCTTATGTCAACGTATCTGTTTATAACTTCTACAAGTTTCGGAATACTGGGGATATTGCCTGCTCAGTACCCTGAATGAGGATAGATGGAATGATAGAAAGTCCTTGCATTCCATGCATTACCTGTAATGATGTAAAATGGCTTCTTCTTCTGCTTCTTCTTCTTCGTCTGCTTCTTCTTCCTCTTCTTCTTCTTCTGCTTCACAATCTGCAGTTGTGAGAGAGACACATGTAGCTTCGAGAGGACTGCGGTCTTCTATTCTGTCACCCTCTCTGATTCTCAGTTCCTCCTCACTGTTCGTCTCCATCTCCTCATCAACCTCCTCCTCCACAAACCCGTCACTCTTGCTCTCTTCTGAGTAAAGGCTGGACACAGACCTAGAGGATACGTGGCATTTCACATTTTAGTAAACAAGAGAAACATGTCGACATTGAAATTGTTTATCAGGAACGACATGCAATAGCTACAATATTTAAAGGTATCTGAGCTCATGAAAGCACAATGACATCGCAGTATTTTCGGATCGGACATATCATCCCCTCCTTGCTGATTTGTTTAAATGTGCATATGAATCGATATTTCAGCTCCGAATGACAAAAAACAAGACCTCAAAATGTTTTATGCTAGACATGTGAGGTGTGGTAAAATGGAGATTATTGCCATTTTTAGTGGTGTGTGTGTCTGCTTCTACTAGTGCTTGTATCAGTCCGAATGCTGAGTTTATAGTGCCAAATGGGATACCGTTCCGCAGTTTAGAGACGATTGTCACTGGTGGGGCAAAAAGGTGTAGTCGAAATTATTCAATTAGCTGAGATTTCTTATGATTGTGGTTTCATTGTGTCGGTATTATTAATATTACGATACTATATGACAATACGAGGCTTGAATCTAAAGCTATATGAAGCATTTACTTAAAAGATCATTTACTCTTCAAATTCGCTCGCTTCTCCATCTGTTTGATCATTCCAGTCATTGTTCATTTGAACACTGCAAACGATAGATGAAGTAACACAAATAACTCACAGCAGGATGTTGAAGAATATGTCACATTATTCACACTTTCATAATCATTAAACAAATACATAGAAGTACTTTTGACCAATGCAAGCAGGCAAAACCTTCATCGTTTTCACACTTTTCATTCTATAACTTTCACTGAAATGATTTGGATGTGATCTGTGGACAATCGTTTATCAAGTTTTCACCCATATCAGATCTTGATCTTGAATCGCCAGCAGTGGTTTATTCGCAGTGGTTTATTTTTTTCACCCAATCTGATTGGCTGGTGCAGAGTGAAGAGTTGTGTCATGGCGTTTTGATTGGCTGGCTAAAAATAATTGACGGCACTATTTTCGGATCGGGGATCCCCGAGGTCGTCTTGTACAGGAAATCCCCAGCTTGCAAAACATTACCGCAGTGACGATGTTTCCATCTCCGAAAGTTGGTGACTGAGAGAAAATTTGTGGGGGAAGAAGGGGTGTGATATATGGAGATATATCAGAGAATTTTGGCTTCCCAATGTACCAGAATGAGAAGACGGTAACCGAAGCGAGATACCGCATCGATATTACGGGACCAGGTGAACCACTCCGGTACATTCTTTACTGGGCGTTTTCAAGGCTAATAACAAGGCTACTGAAACAGTTAATTAATTCATGTAAAAATACCGATGAAAAAGTGAAACAAACTATATTGTATTTGGTATTGTTTAAAAAAATAACTATCAACCACATAAGAAATGTCACGTTATAACGAAGTGTTGATCTAGAGCCGATCGATCAAAAACATATTTCATGGTTATATTCAAATAATCGAGAGTTAAATTTTTTATTTAAAAAAAATTCACACTCAAATAATTTGGATCTAAAGCAAAACTCAGTTTTAATGCAGGAAACGATCAATCTTTGCCGGACGGACCGTACATCTCACGACCAAGATGTTTTGCAACAACAGTAGTTCTTTCCCTTTCAGCTGGAGGAGCTTATCCAGATCAATATAATTAATGTATTTTGGCCTATAATTAGTTGGTGTTTTTTAAACATGAAGACTTCAATTATTTAAACATTCTATCTCAGGACAATTAAGAAACTCATTATGAAAAAACAACACTTTTAAACTTGAATGTTTTAAGTCATACCTAAATCTATGTAAACTCAAGAAAGCAATATATGTATTTATATTTTTTCTTAACTATTTTGATTTCTTATAGGGAGCAGACAAAATGATGAAGATAAAGATGGTGGGCACCAATCAAGCTCATTAGGTATTTTTTTTCAAAAACATTTTTTTTTTCAACAATGATATACATTTTTGCATCTTAAAATATATTTTGTATTTTAGATAATAAATCTAAAAAATAATTTCACATTATAAGTTTCAGGTAGAAATTCAATATCACAGTTAATTATTTTCAGAATTAACAGACACTCAGAGTATTAAGACATGTAGAATTATGTTTGTCTCAAGTATATTCTTTAAACCAAAGATTTATAATTAAACATGTTTACTAAAAAAACACTTCTTTAATAATGCAATTGTTATATTATCATAGCAGATAAAGAGCCCCAATATGTACAGCTAGCTTAGTTTTAATGATAATTATTTAGCATTTCTTGGGCTGATAAACTGGGCATATGACAAAATAAGACATTTTTATTTATTATTCTCCCATTACAAGGTTTACAGTGGTTTATTGGTTTATCACATAATCTAATTGGCTGCCTGGGAGTGGAAAGCTGTGTCGTTATTTTAATCATAGACCTTAAATTTTCAGAACATGGTAAATAAAGAAAAACTCAAATTTATGGGTGATGAAGAAATGACCAACAATAGGTCCTCTTATAACATTTTACCATAAACCTCATTTCTTTACATTAGCAATGTCTAATTTTAATTTTAATATTTCTTACAAAACAATCATATGCGAACAGGTCACTAAAATACATATTTATTATTATGTCTTGTTTTCATGAAGATAAAAGAAGAAAATGTTAATGTTAAATTGCCTATTATCAGTAAGTCTTAACTTCTAATCTGATGAAATAACAAAATAATAAATTTTGGAGGTAACTGTTGCAGAAAAATAACAATGTAAAATTATAAGGGTATTAAAATGCAATTATTTGTAGAACTACTGCAAATGATAATTTATTGTTTACATATAACCTATTATTGTGCTTGTCAAATTCACATTGTTTCTTGTCATTCACAAATGACTCATTTAGTAATATTTTTGGTGTCATGATGTTAAATATTATGTTCAAAAGAAAAAATGTCCATTGATTAAGTTTTTATTTTTATATTTTTAATAAAAACACACGTGCTCACCATGTTCAGGAACAACAAAAAAAAGAAAAGAAAAAAAGATGACATGAAATAATCATCATTTTACATATTAAAAAAAATATCGTCCAAAAATATTAAAATCCATTAATGGATTTGAGAAGATTGAATCAGCTGATCAGTTGCCTGAGTTGGCATTTATAGCATCTCGCTTGATCAGTCCTGCTGACAGTTCCTTGGGCCCATGTTTTTCGTTTACAATATTTCACAATATTTAAGACAATATTTAATTTCCTCTTAATTGGGTTAATAACATTTGTTTCTAGCGAACAAATAATCGAATAACGTATTTACATACACTTAAAAGGTGGGTCGAGTAATCCAAAACAATTAACAAATATCAAATCACATTACTAATTTTCAAAACGTTACTCCCATCAGCTTTTAATAGTTAACAAAAAACATAACATGAATGCTAACGAGTGGCTTGCCTGTCACGTAAAACTCGTGTGAGTTTACCTTTTTACCTGTTTATGGTGCAGTCTTACTGAGCATACTCGGCTTGGGGTAATCCCGAGTGGTTACTAAACACGGGAAATCTTTAACGACGAGCTCAACTTTTTAAGGCGTATTGTAATGGGAGAAAAAGGATTAACCACTGTGTTCGGTTGTTACCGAAAGATCTACACACTCGTGATTCATCTGCCATAATTGGAACTCGGCAAAGCATCGTTCTAATCGTCACAGATTAATCACTCGTGTGTAGATCTTTCGGTAACAACCGAACACAGTGGTTAATCCTATATGTACATAGAACGTACCTTTCATCGGGAGGAGGAAGTATAATCCCCATTGTTGTAGGGGGAACCCTGCGTTTTATACTCGCCATGGTCCGCCTCAGTCTGTTACATTCTGGGGCCCTTCAGTGCGAGAACATAATCTGAATGTGGTTCACACTGGATATGTATCAGGAACAAAATGAAGAAGGAACTGATAATGGTTAGTAAAGTAATGGTCGGTAAAAACTTTCAACTGTTCTGACTTCCTGATTAGGTTAACAGACACAGTGAGTGATTGAGTTGGGTTTAACGCCGCTTTTAACAATATTTCAGTTATATCGCGGCGTATCAGTTTAATGTGGGAGGAAAACCCGAAGTGATGCAGGTCTCAACCTCAAAATGTTTTATGCTAGACATGTGAAGTGTGGTAAAATGGCGTACAAGTGTAGCTTGGCAACTGCAAAATATACATAAATATGCTCCATGTTATACAATATAGAGCATAATCTATTTTCAGACAGTTACTAGTATATTGATAGTTTGTGAATGAAGACTTCAGGATGTTTCTTGACAGATGAATAATCCAACTTAAATTCGTGGTATTTTCGTATTTTATTTCCATTTCGAATATAAACAAAAATTGAAATCCCAAATAGTCAAACTTTAATCAGATTTTCACAATGAAAATACATTATACAGTTAAAAGTATGATGTACCTTAACGGTTTTGCCTTAATGCATACCTGTTTGTACCGGTAGTGTCGTGTGACATTCTCACAGATCCATTGCTTATTCCATTGTCACCCGAAGACACACTGTAAACCCCATTTTCGACATTCAACCAGTTTACCTCCACCTCGTCCGATCCAGTATCTTCAATTGGCAGTTCCACCTCCGCGGGTTTATTGAAAGCTCTTCCAACTGCATATCGTACAGATAGTATGTCAGATAGAGCATATATTCCCTCACAAACGCCCGGGTCATAAGCTCTGTACCATTCCAGTCTGTTCATGCTGGTCGGCTGAATCTGAAGAAACATCCACAGACTCAAATGCCCGAGAAAGAAGCGCACTTAATATTCCCTTCTTCATGATCAATTTCACTATTCGCATTTATTTATTCCTTTCAATATGGCAGTTTATACTTGTTCATGCTCAATAGGCTAGATGCTATATCATAATATAAGTTTCATATAATTGGCCACTAATGTTGTCTATACCTGGATGGAAATAGTCATTTCCGTGTCCACGGCTCCATCTGGTACTTCGACTCGAATCCTTTGATCTTTGCTTGAAACGAATGTGTATCCTCTTGGTGTGATATTGATAACCTCTCCACGCTGCCTGGCATACACCACGAAGTAGTGTAAATTCTCTACGTGAAAGCATGCAAGATCATCCTGTGGGCAAAGACCATGCAAAACAGTGAAGTGTAACATGATTGTGTGTGTATTTGTCCAGACATAGAATAGGTGTAACAACGAAATTTGATGACGATTTCTTCTGTGTTGTTATATCATACTGCAATATGTTTAGTGGATAACTCTGCAATTATTATTATGTGATTTATGTCGTATTTCTTATTATTTTACCTCATAATTAGCTTCATCAGACGTCCACGCTTCCCACTTTTTGAAGACCATAAATTGCAACAGATCTCTTTTGTCTAGCTTTGTGGATGGCAGGTGCAGGGGTAGCTGGAGTTTGTATGGTGTATTGTTTACCTGAGGGAAACCATTCCCAACGACCCTGTACAGATCACTGACCATCATGTCATTATCTGTCCGGGAAAACTCATCAAGCATCAGTGTCCTATCTTCCGCACATACAGGCTCAACATGGCAGTCGATGTCAGACGCCCCTGTAGGTACTTTGAGAACTATTCCCTTCCCCAAATCTTGATCCCTGAAGCAAAAGGAGCCATGAGCCATGTGGTGTTATTTTTGTGTGTACACATGTGAAATATGTTCAGGTGTTGACCTCGAGCACACCTAATGTAATTATCTATGGTGGCTTGGAGATATATTCAATTATTACCCAAATCTGGAGAGGGATGGGAATTAACTATTTGGTAATTATGATTGGCTCAATAATTAATTACCTAATTTGATTGGCTGAATCTACTTTTTGTTCGTTTGTAAATCTACAAGCAGTCACAAAAACAATCACCCATGACCATGACCAGAGTTAAACCCAGTGACACAAAACACACTCCTTTTAATATTGAACATGTATTCATTCTTAAGGTTAAATTAGATTTGAATCTCATGCATTGTTTTTTGCATTCATATTTTATCATGTTTATGATTACAAACAATTTTGAAAAGTAGATCTGGACATTGGTATAATATAAACAATCAATCCAAGATGGCATTTCTCGCGTCCAGCAAAGGATAAAACAAAACATCGGTTTAGATAATGACCGAAGTCTGAGTGTGCAATAGATGTTCTCTTTTCACACAGAAGGTTCGCGATAAGCATATTCATGTTCATGTACATGCTAAGCGCGAACCTTCTTTGTGAAAAGAGAACATCCACTGCATCGTCATACAACAAGCATGTGATCCAACGAATATGGCACATTTTCAAAATCATTCCCACTGCTAGAACCTATATTCTGTTTTCGTGATTCATTCAGGGAAACTTCAGTGAAACAAAATTCCATATCATAGAACAGTAAAAACAGTAATTACATCACAATCCGAAATAAAACGTCGATTTTTTAATGATATTACAACTTGACTTACGTGCCTATGTCCCAATAGACACATGACGGCTGTCACTGCTCAGCTATATAAGGCTGTCCAAATAAGGTCACGTGAGGACAGTTTTATGCAAAGAACGAAATTGTACTTATTCAAGTGAAAAACTCGGTGTTCTCCTGACGAAAGTTGATCTTGAAAATCACAAACATGATTTTCGATAATCGTATTACTTCGTTGATGTGTGGGACACAATTCGGTCGCTGGATTCATTTGATATGAAGTTTGCTGCTAGTAAAATCGAATGACATTTGTTTTGGTAGCGGTCGACGATTCTTTTCCGTTGTAGTTTTACTGATAGTAAATAGAGGTTATCAAGCGAGTGTCTTTTGGGATTGTAAATATCCCGTATTAGGAATAAACATTGTAGTTAGCGACAGTATACTGACTTCGAGCCGAAAAGTCCTCATTTTAGCCAAACGCTAGGCAGGACAATAAAAAGTATCATCTTTCAACGTCTTTTGGTATCACGCGGCCGGGAATCGATCCCCGGACCTTTCGGTCGCCGGGTAGACGCTCTACCACAAGACCACGGAAGCAGTTCGATGTCAGATAACTGAGAAATACTACAACGCGACGTATCTTTGTGATCAGTAAAGGCATTAAAACTGGGAAACAAGTGCTGTGCAGCTCTTTCAGACTTGTGGCAACGGTAATATCGTGATGCAAAACAATAGGCACACAAGGCCATTTTACACAAGCTTATCATTGCTTTGTGTACTTGCAGAGCTCTAACCCATTCATATATATCAATAAATACTCTATGTGATAGATGTTTCGAATAGGTCTCTCTTGGGAAATATATATGTGGTTAACAATATAAAGGAAAGAATTAGACATGAAGGATTCTGAGAAAGAACAGTATCTGCAAGTTTTGAGTGGCATCGGTTTGTCCACAGCATGCTAGCACCAGTAAACGTCATCCCCATATTCATAAATTCTTCTCGATGAGACTTGACAGTAACCTGAAACGTTTGTTCATTTTTCATGGCATGGACACGAGAAACACTGTGCCAGTCTTATGTCAACGTATCTGTTTATAACTTCTACACGTTTCGGAATACTGGGGATATTGCCTGCTCAGTACCCTGAATGAGGATAGATGGAATGATAGAAAGTCCTTGCATTCCATGCATTACCTATACTGATGTAAAATGGCTTCTTCTTCTGCTTCTTCGTCTGCTTCTTCTTCTTCTTCTGCTTCGCAATCTGCAGTTGTGAGAGAGATACATGTAGCTTCGAGAGGACTGCGGTCTTCTATTCTGTCACCCTCTCTGATTCTCAGTTCCTCCTCACTGTTCGTCTCCATCTCCTCATCAACCTCCTCCTCCACAAACCCGTCACTCGTGCTCTCTTCTGAGTAAAGGCTCGACACAGACCTAGAGGATACGTGGCATTTCACATTTTAGTAAACAAGAGAAACATGACGACATTGAAATTGTTTATCAGGAACGACATGCACTATGTACAATAATTAAAGGTATCTGAGCTCATGAAAGCACAATGACATCGCAATATTTTCGGATCGGACATATCATCCCCTCCTTGCTGATTTGTTTAAATGTGCATATGAATCGATATTTCAGCTCCGATTGACAAAAAACAAGACCTCAAAATGTTTTATGCTAGACATGTGAGGTGTGGTAAAATGGAGATTATTGCCATTTTTTAGTGGTGTGTGTGTCTGCTTCTACTTGTGCTTGTATCAGTCCGGGCGAATGCTGAGTTTATAGTGCCCAATGGGATACCGTTCCGCAGTTTAGAGACGAGTGTCACTGGTGGGGCAAAAAGGTGTAGTCGAAATTATTCAATTAGCAGAGATTTCTTATGATTGTGGTTTCATTGTGTCGGTATTATTAATATTACGATACTATATGACAATAAGAGGTTTGAATCTAAAGCTATATGAAGCATTTACTTAAAAGATCACTTACTCTTCAAATTCGCTCGCTTCTCCATCTGTTTGATCATTCCAGTCATTGTTCATTTGAACACTGCAAACGATAGATGAAGACACACAAATAACTCACAGCCTGATGTTGAAGAATCTGTCACAATATTCACACTTTCATAATCATTTAACAAATACATAGAAGTACTTTTGACCAATGCAAGCAGGCAAAACCTTCATCGTTTTCACACTTTTCATTCTATAACTTTCACTGAAATGATTTGGATGTGATCTGTGGACAATCGTTTATCAAGTTTTCTCCCATAAAAAGGCTTGATCTTGAATCGCCAGCAGTGGTTTATTCGCAGTGGTTTATTTTCTTTCACCCAATCTGATTGGCTGGCTGAGAGTGGAGAGTTGTGTCATCGCGTTTTGATTGGCTGGCTAAAAATAATTGACGGCACTATTTTCGGATCGGGGATACCCGAGGTCGTCTTGTACAGGAAATCCCCAGCTGGCAAAACATTACCGTAGTGACGATGTTTCCATCTCCGAAAGTTGGTGACCGAGAGAAAATGTGTGGGGGAAGAAGGGGTGTGATATGTGGAGATATATCAGAGAATTTTGGCTTCCCAATGTACCAGATTCAGTTGCAGAATGAGAAGACGGTAACCGAAGCGAGGTACCGCATCGATATTACGGGACCAGGTGAACCACTCCGGTACATTCTTTACTGGGCGTTTTCAAGGCCAATAACAAAGCTAATGAAACAGTTAATTAATTCATGTAAAAATACCGATGAAAAAGTGAAACAAACTATATTGTTTAACTATTTTGATTTATTATAGGGAGCAGACAAAATGATGAAGATAAAGATAGTGGGCACTAATCAATCTTATTAGGTATTTTTTTTCAAAAACATTTTTTTTTCAACAATGATATACATTTATGCATTTTAAAATATATTTTGTATTTTAGATAATAAATCTAAAAATTAATTTCACATTATTAGTTTCAGGTAGAAACTCAATATCACAGTTCATTATTTTCAGAATTAACAGACAATACAGAGTATTAAGACATGTAGAACTAGGTTTGTCTCAAGTATATTCTTTAAACCAAAGATGTATTATTTACCATGTTTACTGAAAAAAACCCACTTCTTTAATAATGCAATTGTTATATTATCATAGCAGATAAAGAGCCCCAATATGTACAGCTAGCTTAGTTTTAATGATAATTATTTAGCATTTCCTGGGCTGATAAACTGGGCATATGACAAAATAAGACATTTTTATTTATTATTCTCCCATTACAAGGTTTACAGTGGTTTATTGGTTTATCACATAATCTAATTGGCTGCCTGGGAGTGGAAAGCTGTGTCGTTATTTTAATCATAGACCTTAAATTCTTCTAATGCGTAAATTTTCAGAACATGGTAAATAAAGAAAAACTCAAATTTATGGGTGATGAAGAAATGACCAACAATAGGTCCTCTTATGCAATTTTACCATAAACCTCATTTCTTTACATTAGCAATGTCTAATTTTAATTTTAATATTTCTTACAAAACAATCATATGCGAACAGGTCACTAAAATACATATTTATTATTATGTCTTGTTTTCATGAAGATTAAAGAAGAAAATGTTAATTTTAAATTACCTATTATCAGTAAGTCTTAACTTCTAATCTTATGAAATAACAAAAGAATAAAGTTTGGAGGTAACTGTTGCAGTAAAATAACAATGTAAAATTACAAGGGTATTAAAATGCAAATATTTGTAGAACTACTGAAATGATAATTTATTGTTTACATATATACTATGTATTTATGTTTCACACACAATAAATTATTGTGCTTGTCAAATTCACATTGTTTCTTGTCATTCACAAATATGGGGAAATTAGATGACTCATTTAGTAATATTTTTGGTGTCATGATATGTTCAAAAGAAAAAATGTCCATTGAATAAGTTTTAATTTTTAAATTTTTAATAATAACACATGTGCTCACCATGTTCAGGAACAAAAAAAAAAAAAAAAAAAGATGACATGAAATAATCATCATTTTACATATTAAATTATTAACTGTAAAATTGGTTTTAAATAGGAAAATTCGTCCAAAAATATTACAAACCATTGATGGATTTGAGAAGATTGAATCAGCTGATCAGTTGCCTGAGTTGGTATTTATAGTATCTTGCTTGATCAGTCCTGCTGACAGTTCCTTGGGTCCATGTTTTTCGTTAACAATATTTCACAATATTTAAGACAATATTTAATTTCCTCTTAATTGGGTTAATAACATTTGTTTCTAGCGAACAAATAATCGAATAACGTATTTACATACACTTAAAAGGTGGGTCGAGTAATCCAAAACCATTAACAAATATCAAATCACATCACTAATTTTCAAAACGTTACTCCCATCAGCTTTTAATTGTTAACAAAAAACATAACATGAATGCTAACAAGTGGCTTGCCGGTCACGTAAAAGTCGTGTGAGTTGTCTTCGCTAGATCCTTTTTACCTGTTTATGGTGCAGTTGTCTCAATGAGCATACTCGAAAACGAGGCTGGGGGGAACCCCGAGTGGTTACTAAACACGGGAAATCTTCAACTACGAGCTCGACATTTTATGGCTTTTTGTAATGGGAGAAAAAGGATTAACCACTGTGTTCGGTTGTTACCGAAAAATCTACAAACCGTGACAGATTCTTCACTCGGCAAAGCCTCGTTCTAATCGTGACATATTAATCACTCGTGTGTAGATCTGTCGGTAACAACCGAACACAGTGGTTAATCCTATATGTACATAGAACGTACCTTTCATCAGGAGGAGGAAGTATAATCTCCATTGTTGTAGGGGGAGCCCTGCGTTTTGGACTCGCCATGGCCCGCCTCAGTCTGTCACAGTCTGGGGCCCTTCTGTGCGAGAACATAATCTGAATGTGGTTCACACTGGATATGTATCAGGAACAAAATGAAGAAGGAACTGATAATGGTTAGTAAAGTAATGGTCGGTAAAGACTTTCACCTGTTCTGACTTCCTGATTAGGTTAACAGACACAGTGAGTGAGTGAGTTGGGTTTAACGCCGCTTTTAACAATATTTCAGTTATATCGCGGCGTATCAGCTTAATGTGGGAGGAAAGCCCGAAGTGATGCAGGTCTCAGACGTTTACCACTTAGGAGAAACCCACGAGCACGAACCTAGAAACATAATCAGGGTGAACCAGGATTCGAACCCACAATCACAGGTTTCTGATGTGCCCAAGGGACGCAACTCTGCACAGACAATAGCGGCGCCTTAGACGACTGGGCTACCTGTGCCCCCTACATACACTGAGGTAACATTCCAGTTCAGGGCGTTATTACCAGATTGTCTCTATGATTCCTCAGTTCATCAGAACATGGGCTATACCAGCTTAATTCAACCTGGAAAGTGTATGCTATATTATGATAACGTTCTTCATAAATGCTTGCGTCTGCACCTACGGATTCTAAAAACAGGGGACAAGCGGGACCGAGCATGTTGAAGAAGCAATCCCTGAGAGCGAGTGAATGAGATGGGCATTTTAAACAGTATTGCAGCTCATAGGCAGATCCAGATGGAGGACCAGGGGGTCAGGACCCCTGTACTAGGTTGTAGGCAGTAAAACTATGTGAGAGGACCGCCTCCGTGGTCTAGTGGTAGAGCGTCCGCACGGAGAGCGGAAGGTCCGGGGTTCGATCCCCGGTCGCGTCATAGCAAAAGACGTTAAAACATGGTACTTGTTGTTACCCTGCCTGGCGCTCGGAGTCAGTATACTGTGTCTGAGTGGGGTATTCATGTTAAACTGCGGCATGGTATCTCAGTGGGCTAACACTATATTAAATATTTCTAAACTGTCGTTTCCAGTCTCTGTAATCCATGTCTATGTACTCTGTGCTTTCCGTGAATTTCACCAGAATATTGAACTGCTGAAGTGAAGTGAAAAATACGATGTCGCCACGGCGAAATGTTTCAGGTCTGTTTGAGAGTTTGCATGTTGCGATTATAGATCAGTATCCATACATTACTACAACTCTGATAATCTTTGCACCCTGACAGTTTCATCTGCACCGACACAATATTCATTCATTTCAATCCACATCTCAGGTTTACAGCCACTAACAATCGTTTGAATGTACACGCATACATAATCAGAAAAAAACATTGTGCTTCTTGATCTAAGCTTGATGACAACACGCCTAAATGCGATCCTGTACAATTAGACTTATCATCAAACACGTTCATTTTGACAATACAATGGTTACATAAAATTCTCAATATTATGCTACTGAAATGAACACCATCAGAAACCATTCAATCATTGCAAGACCTACTTGGAAACCGAGGGTGCGTTGCAAAGCCCCAATCGCTTGCAGGCGATGTACAGCGATTTGCCTAACAACGGTGCGCTACCTTTCAGCCGCTTGCAAGCGAAACAATCGCTGGCTGAGGTAGCTTCGTTCTCAAACCAAAAATGCGGCTGACTTTGACACCGGATAAAGAAATTCTTGACTGGATCAACGAGGAAATGAACAAAGGCAGTTAACACCCCATCATCCTCAGTCTGCTCCACATCTTCAAAGTAGTACCTTCTATTACGTTCTTTATTACATCAAGGCAACCAAGCGGTAGTTGCGCCGCCATTTTGGAAGAGTGCGCAAGCGCTTCGATCTGTTGCAGACTCCGGGATGAGCGATTAATTCGCTTTCTCTAAGCGATTCGTGGCTTGCAACGCGCCCCTACACGACCAAAGCCAACGTGCAAATTGAAGAAACTGAAATTCAAAACGTCAACTCCAGAGAATAATCATTTCGATTATCTGACGAAACCATTGGGCGTAAAAAACAAACTTTTGATGAACATTATATTAATGGACAAGTGGCAAATCAGTGATGAAAGCAAGTATTCGCGAAAAGGGTAGACATGTCTTGCTCTTCTGGTGGAGGTATGCATTAGGCTTGATACTGATGGTAACGAATATGGGAATAGTGAAAAATATAGGGAAATAAGCTTTACTGTCAGTACATTTGAAATAGCGCGCACACAAATTCAACACGTCAGAATTAAATGTTGTGAGTGTTTGTTTGCATTGTTCACAACGCGTATTTGGAAGATAAAGAAGGGAAACCATGATAGCATATCATTTTACTTGTTTTTGAGGCTTGAAGGTTCGAAAATTAACCTGTTTCAAGATGAAAAGATCGAGGAAGGCAGGATGTGTTTACATTCAGAAAAGAGACTAGACGTCTCTTCACGGAGGGAAGGTGACAGGGTGCGAGGAGGTAAAACAGTTGTGGAACTCTCTTTGGAATAAGGTTAATAAAGAGTCTACCCGGAGAGCGGAAGGTCGGTGGTTAGTTCCCCAGTCACGTCATGCCAAAATACGTTAAAGGATGGAATGTTTAACTCTGCCCAGGTAAAAACATTCGGCTCGGAGTCAGTACACTCTGTCTGAGCGGGGTATCCATGGTAAACTTCGGCATGGTATCTCGGTGCCTTGGCACAAAAACCGGCAGCAACACACAGACATGTGCATGCTCGTCGCTATATAAGTGAATCTTCTTAAAGGCGGCGTCAAACCCCTCTTCACCTCACTTACTAACTTAAAAACTTACTTACGTACTTACTTACTTAATTACAAAAAACAGTTTGTACCTAGCGGCGCAAAGGTTCCTGGTTTGAATCCCGTCCGGGCAGGACTGGAACCGGCTTTACAGTCGGCTATGCCCTAGTTCAGCGTGCAAGGGTACACTCGGTGTCTGTGCAGTGTCCAGCTCGGTTCGCCAGTTGCAGGCTGTGCTTTTATCTTTCAATGCACCACAAAGGCATAAATATGATGCTTGTTTTCTCCTGGCCCCCTACACCCGTCACTTTTGTTTTAAAGCAAGCAACTAACTGTGATGTCTGTTTATTATGCCCCCTTTTCGCATTTCGAAAAAGCAGAAAACACTGAGAAACACTGGCTACAGATAAACGACCCTCACACTGGTAGACAATATCTGTTATACACAGAAGGCAGACCTTCACTCTGGTAGAAAATATGTGTTATACACAGAAAACACCGAACACTCAGGCTAACAGACCCTCACACTGGCAGACAATATCTGTTATACACAGAAGGCAGACCTTCACTCTGGTAGAAAATATGTGTTATACACAGAAAACACCCAGCACTCAACCTCCAGATAACAGACCCTCACACTTTTAATTAAAATACATGTTACACAATGTACACAGAAACAAACAGCGCCCGGGCTCCAGATAAGAGACCCTCACACTAGTAGACGATATCTATTATACACAGAAAACTCTGAGTGCTCAGGCCCTAGATAACAGACCCTCACAATGGTGGAACTTATCTGTCTTCATAGAACACGTGTGGAAGGCGAACTTTGGTAGAATGAAACAAGGAAAGATCGCCACAAAGCAAGTTAGGGCGTATGAGAATACGAAGAACTAAAAGAGATACTTTGTGCAATTGTTTGAGAAGTACAGTTCCCGGTGCCCCTTCCAATGGTAATATCAGTCTAGTGGTTAATGGTACCCTGGTTTCAGTTTTACACAATGTACTTATTCTAGACAAAGGCTGGAATTGGATGCCAGAGCAAGAAGTCCAGTCTCTCTTGGAAATGAAATTTTTAATCAGTATTTTATCAGTAATTTTATGTACTGATTAGTAAGGAAGGCTACGTAGCCTGCTTAGGATTAAGAAGCTAATTTGCAAGTAAGTTTAAAATAAGTTAATTTTGAATACAAGTCTCGTTTCCCTTGTCATTAACTTTTGGAGGGAGCGGTGGGGTAGCTTTGTTGTTAAAGCGTTCGCTCGTAACGCCTTGGGTCCGGGTTCGATTTCTCAGATGGACACAATATGTGACGCCCATATCTGGTGTACCCTGTCGTGATATTTCTGGGGTAGTGCTAAAAGCGGCGTAAAACCATACTCACTCACTCACTATCATTTGAAGATGCAAATCGTAATGCTCTCTGTTGTCTGATTTTTTAAAGAAGCGTAAACAGAAACAGAAATAGGAGAGAGTAACACACACACACACACACACACACACACACACACACACACACACACACACACACACACACACACACACACACACATATAGGGGTAGGGGGTTGACGGTAAGGTAAGGTGAATTAGTTTGACGTCGCTTCAAGATCCTTGCATTTACACAGCGACGCACTCGTACCAGTCCAGGGTATTGTCGGTGTCTAAGTGCGAGACCATTGAGACACCATGCCGCAGTTTAACATGGATATCCCTCCCAGACACAACATACTGTCTCCAAGCCACCAGTCCTTGTTTGTATCCATTAAATACCGCACGCCATTCAGGGTAACAACAGTTACCACATTTTAACGTCTCTTGGCATGAGGCGGCCGGAGATCGAACCACCTACCTTCCACTTTCCGGGCAGAGTTGACGGTACGAAGACCAATCATTCCCCCAAGGCCACCGCAGCAACAAGACTGTACGAGGCTTAAGTAGGTTGCTATCTGAAGTGACTGGCCAGTTAATACATACTTACCTAAAACGTTGTATTTTTGCAATGTATCCTCCCTCATCTATAAAGGACATTAAAACGGAATATGTAAGGAGTCAAATACAAAATAACTAGAATTGGCTAGAAGGAAAGGACAATGTCATTTTACAGTACGTATGGACACAATAAAGCAATCTAATGTTTCAATAGAAACTTGGGATCACTTGAATAGCGAGTTTATAATGCTTAAGAAGGCACAGCATGACTACTTCGGGGGCAACTACGCTGATAACCCCGAGTAGTCCACTGCTGAATCCAGCCAGATGTTTCAGCAGCTGCTGGTCGTTATTATCAACGTCAATCAATAACAGTAAAGTGATTGACATGGATGTACAGAAACACATTTCATTGGGTGCGTGTTTCATATAAGATTGTTTGCATGTTCTTACGGCTTTCCTTGATCAACACCATGCGTTGGTTTTGTTTTCCAACATTCTGATGAAACTTCACGAACAATAATGTGACATCACCAAAGGCCTCTACGATTTTATATGATAACGTGTCGTACCTGACGGCGTAGGAAATAGCTCATAGATCAACAACAGGTAGATTATTTGAAGGTCACCATGATACAGCTTGAATATTATCGGCATCGGCGTAAAACAATACACATACAAGCACTAATTATTCAGGGGGGCGGTCGGGTTGCCTGTTGGATAAAGCGTTCGCACGCCACTCCGAAGACCCGGGTTCGATTCCCGACATGGGTACAATGTGTGGAGCCCATTTCTGGTGTCCCCCGCCGTGATATTGCTAGAATATTGTTAAAAGCGGCGTAAAACCATACTGACTCACACTCCCTATTCAGGATAAATGTGTGTATAAGTTATAGTTGTCAGCAATTGATATAACCAAAGTAACACTTGTATTCAGTTTTAAGAATGTTTCACTAAACATTACGAACTTAAAACTTACCGCACAGGCAGCCATGTCAAACCTCGATATGTACGTTACAATGCAGCCAGACAACCTACTAGGAAGTTGACGGCTTGCAATCTCTAACACGGGTGGTATTGCTATGCACACGGGTAAAATTATCGATTGGACTGAAGATCTATTGCAATATCAAAGTCTACATTGACCTCGCCGATAAATATGTACATAGTAGATATGTGTGTGTAAACAGGTTAAATCAAATGAATCACGTTTTGTTCTGTTTTAGGTCATCAGTCAGTATACGATACAGTTCATCGTATTGATAAGAGAAGCACAAATTCCATATAATTAACCCATGTTATTGAGCAATGACAGTGAACAATAATGATTGCTTATTATTTAAGGCTTCCTTTACACACCGAGAGCATTGAGTGAGTGAGCGAGTGAGTTGGATTTAACGCGGGTTCGAACAGTAAATAAGTTATATCAAAGCGTGACAGCTCAGTGTTGAAGGAAAGCCTGAAGCGATACATGTGTGCACTGTCACTTATTGTGACAGTGCACAATTTATGATAAAATATTTCACATTTTTATATTAATTTGTGTGTTTATATTTTGCACATATTTGCCATATATTTCATGTAATTATTTCTATACTTTGTTTGAATGTTTACATTTTGCACATATTTGCCATATATTTCATGTAATTATTTCTATACTTTATTTGTATGTATATATTTTGCACATATTTGCCATATATTTCATGTAATTATTTCTATACTTTATTTGTATGTATATATTTTGCACATATATGCCATATATTTCATGTAACATTGAAATGTCACTTTCATTACCCATCATAACAAGGCCAAGCTGACCAAGCAAAACTAATTAACATCAACCATATGCTATCGCCAGTGTCTCCCTAAAACTCCAATCTATTGATTGATCTATTGATTGGATTTTCAAGTAGACACTGGCGATAGCATATGGTTGATGTTAATTAGTTTTGCTAGGTCAGCTTGGCCTTGACATGATGAAATATATCATTGCAAATATGTGCAAAATATAAACATACAAATTAATATAAAAATGTGAAATATTTTATCATTTTTATCATTTTATTTATTTTATCATTGTGCACTGTCACACATGTCTTACACGTTTACTACTTTTGTGAAATACACGAGCACGGATATTGTTATGACGAACCTAGGTATATAGTCGGGATAGCCGGAATTCGAGCCAACGATCTGTGGCGAGTCCAGGCGACGCAACTCTCCACCTGGATCAAACACTTGATGCACCTGGATCAAACACTGGGTGCACCTGGATCAAACAACCGGTGTACCTGGATCAAACACGCGGTGAACCTGGATCAAACAACCGGTGCACCTGGTTCAAACACTCGGTGCACCTGGATCAAACACTCGGTGCACCTGGATCAAATACTTGGTGCACCTAGATCAAACAATCGGTGCACCTGGTTCAAACAATCGGTGAACCTGGATCAAACACTCGGTGCACCTGGATCAAACACTTGATGCACCTAGATCAAACAATCGGTGAACCTGGATCAAACACTCGGTGCACCTGGATCAAACACTTGATGCACCTAGATCAAACACTCGGTGAACCTGGATCAAACACTCGGTGCACCTGGATCAAACACTTGATGCACCTAGATCAAACACTCGGTGGACCTGGATCAAACAATCGGTGCACCTGGATCAAACACTCGGTACTACTGGATCAAGCACTTGGTGCACCTGGATCAAACACTCGGTGCACCTAGATCAAACACTCGGGTGACCTGGATCAAACAATCGGTGCACCTAGGTCAAACACTTGTTTCTCCGGGGAACCCCATGCACAGGGCACGGGGACCTACCCTAGAACGGAACCGGCACATAGGGTCACTGGCACCTATTCTTGACCGGAAACCATACATGTGACACCAGGCAACCTTCCTAACAGCGATGAAACTGCTATCCTGCGGTCAAAAGCCTACACGTTGCTGTATAGAGTTGCCTCCCTTAGTTGTGCCAGGAACCGCTGATCGTTGGATCGAATCCCATATTTACCCCGACTATGGTCGTTTGTTTGTTAACACCATACATGTGCTAGTAGGATTCACCGAAGTGGTATACGTGAACGACCTTGGTCACTTCGATCTTTCCTTCCACATGAACAACACATCCTACAAGAAATCAACTACTGCTAAAGCGACACTAACATATTTACTCACCTTCCCAAGAGTTCGTACACTTGATATTAACGGGCCGCCATTGTCACGTAAGCCTGACATGATTAGAGCAAGGCGTACTGACTGAAGATAAGGTAATTTATATTAAATGTCATACTGGGTGTGTATGGTAGCATGTAAATACAAATACAACGTGCTTATCGTGCACGGCGCAGTAGGACCTATTCTACACAAGAACCCAGGTACAGGGCACTGGGACCTATTCTACACAAGAACCCGGGTACAGGGCACTGGAACCTATTCTACACAAGAACCCGGGTACAAGGTACTGGGACCTATTCTACACAAGAACCCGGGTACAGGGAACTGGGACCTATTCTACACAAGAACCCGGGTACAGGGCACTGGGACCTATTCTACACAAGAACCCGGGTACAGGGCACTGGGACCTATTCTACACAAGAACCCGGGTACAAGGTACTGGGACCTATTCTACACAAGAACCCGGGTACAGGGCACTGGGACCTATTCTACACAAGAACCCGGGTACAGGGCACTGGGACCTATTCTACACAAGAACCCGGGTACAAGGTACTGGGACCTATTCTACACAAGAACCCGGGTACAGGGCACTGGGACCTATTCTACACAGGAACCCGGGTACAGGGCACTGGGACCTATTCTACACAAGAACCCGGGTACAGGGTACTGGGACCTATTCTACACAAGAACCCGGGTACAGGGCACTGGGACCTATTCTACACTAGAACCCGGGTACAGGGCACTGGGATCTTTATCTATCGTTTGCATTGTTCGAATGAACCGTTCCTTGGTTTGAACAATTAGATGGAAAAGCGAGTGAATTTGAAAAGTAAGTGACTTGTTAATTGTTTTGCTTTATAGCCTTCGAGACGGGTCTCTTGTTGCCATATAGAATCATAATAATAAATAAGAGCGACAAAACATAACCATTATCTTAATACAAACGACATCGCCCTTTCCATATAAATATGTAATTCCTGCCGAAAGCAGAGTTGATTGATTGTACGATTCCCACTATGTCATGAGCATGTGTTAATGAAACACTATCAAATAGTGATGATACCAGTGTCTCCCGAAAAAAGTGGGCTTATCCTACCCCGGCGGTGGCACCCGTCACAAACACATGCAAGGGCAAGTCAATTGTACGCCTGAAAAAACCCCACAGGGACATATGGTCAAAATAGGTAATTGGTAATCGGACATCATTTTGGTAATTAGGAAATACCCTCCGTATGTCTGCAATACAACTTTTTGAAAGCTTCGGTTTACCGAGGCCAAGAAATTGTATCCTTAATCAAACAACTCTTGTCGTATGACGCTCTTTGAAAACTTCGATTACAGAGGATGCTCGATTGTACCTCAAACATGGTGAAAAATAGACACCAAAGGATGTAGCTGCTGGAATATTGCTCGAGATAAAAGAAAGTTGATGATCGGCAAGTAGAAGTCATCCCTCTTGTCAAACAGTCATCATTTTCAGCACATAACACCAGGGATGATGCGGTTATTCATGAAACAGAACGAACCTAACATGAAGTGGAGATTTATTGTTCGTTTGTCTGCTTGTTGTTTAACGCGGCATTCAGCAATATTCCAGCCGTGTGAATATAATCGAGTCTGGACCAGGCAATCTAGTGATTGTCATCATGCGCATCGATCTGGGCAACTGGGATACGATGACATGCATAAATTAAGTCAATGAGTCTGGTCACCAGATCCCGTTAGTCGCCTCTTACGACAAGCTTAGTGGCCCATGACAAGTATGGGTTGCTGAAGACCGATTCTAACCTGGGTCTTCACAGGTCTGGAGTGGGATTGGGATTGAGTGGGGAACGCATGCAAAGCAAAGGACAACGTGTGATAGAATTTATTAATCAAGTGTGTTTTCGTAACGTAAATAACTTATACCAGGAATACAAACTTATTATGCGAAGGCTGGAGCCGCTGGAATGAATATTGTTCCACATTAAGAGAAAGCTGAAGTTACCCTTCTTGTCATACTGTGGAGAGTCTGTTGGTCAATCTGAATCTAAACGTGAAACAGACGAAACAGTTGCAGTGATACACCAGAAGCACCCCAGCAAGTATCATATCAAGGGAGAGCACTCGTCACCAGATCTATGCTTCACAGGCCATGCTGCGTGTTCTGTTGCCCTGGTCCTTACTGATAGAAATACATGTACGCCCATCTGCCCATCAAATATAAACATTCGCCAGTAAAAATACATGTTCTTACTAATAAATGACCGTCAAAGGTTGTCCGTGGCAAAGAACGGTTCGTATACGAAGTTCCAAAAGAAACGCAAATCTCATGTTCCAAATTCTAATCTTTACAATATCCAATATCCTTTCGTCATTTTTGGATGCACACACTGAACACTGAACATTAGGTATAAACAATCGTCGAGTACTGGGCATAAATGAAGCTGGTATGACGGCATCACGAGTAGCGAGAGAGCTACAGGCTCACCCCACTAAGTCTACCATCTTATTGACAAACTTTGCGTAGGATTGCCCAAGGAGCGGACGCCCATGTGTTCCGTCGTTACGTAAAACCAGGGTTCTCGCCCATCATCTAGGCAACTGGGATACGATGACATGCATTAATTGAGTAAAACCAGGGTTCTCGCCCATCATCTAGGCAACTGGGATACGATGACATGCATAAATTGAGTAAAAACAGGGTTCTCGCCCATCATACGCCACCTTTCAGCGGTAACTACTGCCAGACAGACAGTTGGAACCCACCACAGACCTGTGTCAGGTGCCGACGTCCAGAAAGAACGGTGTGTGTAGAGATAACTGTTACTTTCTGTTTGTATTTGATAAAGAAGTGTTTCAATTCCGGGTCATGAAATCTATCGCGTATCTATCAGCTATGTAGAGTCATCTCCGTCGCGTTTTTCATTGCCCATTTTCGTCCATTAAGGAATCTTGACCGTCACCCCCAAAAAATATGCCCTAGTTGTTATCAACATTTATTCGTTCAACCATACAGGATCTTTAGTTGAATATTTCAACAATACATCCTATGATACAAAACAGTTTTGTCAAAGAAATTCCACATTTCAAATTCAGGAGTATGTGCAACGCAACGCAGATGATATATTTGTGTCAGTGCGGTATTTGAATACCACCAGTATGGCTAGCTCGTATACCAAACTGTAACGTGTGGCGTCTTGACACTTTTCATGCACCACATTTGCAATGTGTCTCCCCGCACCCTTGACTATTTGGTTTGGGTAACATCCGACGGCCACGCCACACTTGTGTATACAATCTGTTCCACACTCTCCATCTTGGTGAGTGAAGTGGGTTCTGTGGATACGACACACTTGCGTATACAATCTGTTCCACACTCTCCATCTTGGTGAGTGAAGTGGGTTCTGTGGCCACGCCACACTTGTGTATTCAATCTGTTCCACACTCTCCATCTTGGTGAGTGAAGTGGGTTCTGTGGATACGACACACTTGTGTATACAATCTGTTCCACACTCTCCATCTTGGTGAGTGAAGTGGGTTCTGTGGATACGCCACACTTGTGTATAAATTCTGTTCCACACTCTCCATCTTGGTGAGTGAAGTGGGTTCTGTGGATACGCCACACTTGTGTATACAATCTGTTCCACACTCTCCATCTTGGTGAGTGAAGTGGGTTCTGTGGATACGCCACACTTGTGCATACAATCTGTTCCACACTCTCCATCTTGGTGAGTGAAGTGGGTTCTGTGGATACGCCACACTTGTGTATACAATCTGTTCCATACTCTCCATCTTGGTGAGTGAAGTGGGTTCTGTGGATACGACACACTTGCGTATAAATTCTGTTCCACACTCTCCATCTTGGTGAGTGAAGTGGGTTATGTGGATACGCCACACTTGTGTATACAATCTGTTCCACATTCTCCATCTTGGTGAGTGAAGTGGGTTCTGTGGATACGACACACTTGTGTATACAATCTGTTCCACACTCTCCATCTTGGTGAGTGAAGTGGGTTCTGTGGATACGCCACAATCGACACGTATCAAATCTGTTTCTCGACCCCTGAAGGACAGATATTCCTATGCACCCTGAACAGTTCATACCCTGAAAATCCATAGTTTGATTATTTGATTTAGTTTTGTCATACACTTGTTAAGGAAATCCACCAAGGCCGTCTCCACTCCGAACATAAACCTGATAAAACTGATAGTAAAATAACTCGTTCACTGGCTGATTGATGTTCTATGAAATATTGAATCCTCAATCTTAACATATTGCTTTGCTCTCCATTCAGGGAAAAACATGAATTTTGCAGTGCAGACCGTCTCAAACAATTTTCCTCGCACATACACACACCTCCAGAACACCCAGGGGACAAAACGTGGTTATTTTGGGTTGAGAGAACATTTTTGGAATGTCGATATTGCACAAATACTATCGGTGCCAGTCTATAAGGTTATCCATAACCTAGCGTGCTCTACAATATCACTGAACTGGACCCTGACTCTGACCAAGTCATGACGGTGGTCAGAACGAGGTTGATTGATGCCTAGCTTGCTCTACAATATCACTGAACTGGACCCTGAATCTGACCAAGTCATGACGGTGGTCAGATGGAGGTTGATTGATGCCTAGCTTGCTCTACATTATCACTGAACTGGAGCATGACTCTGACCAAGTCATGACGGTGGTCAGATGGAGGTTGATTGATGCCTAGCTTGCTCTACAATATCACTGAACTGGAGCATGACTCTGACCAAGTCATGACGGTGGTCAGATGGAGGTTGATTGATGCCTAGCTTGCTCTACAATATCACTGAACTGGACCCTGACTCTGACCAAGTCATGACGGTGGTCAGATGGAGGTTGATTGATACCTAGCTTGCTCTACAATATCACTGAACTGGACCCTGACTCTGACCAAGTCATGACGGTGGTCAGATGGAGGTTGATTGATGCCTAGCTTGCTCTACAATATCACTGAACTAGACCCGACAGTCCAGTGACTCTGACCAAACCATGACGGTGGTCAGATGGAGGTAGGTTGATGCCACGTCAAGATCTAATCGTAAACATCCTGGTTATCAAATTCCCTTTTTTCTTTTCTGGCTTTAGCTATTTTCAAAGCCAGATCTCTCCTCC